GGGTTCAGACTTGCCTTGGTCTCCACTGCGCTTGAGGGGTGTTTGACTTAACTGCTGAAATTAGAAGAGATGTGAGGGGAGGGGCGTCCAACATTAGTCCTCACCTGAGTTAATAGTGTGGTGGTCCGAGGAGTACTGAATCCCCCGGCCAGGCGGCCCCAGCCTCAGCCCAGCCCGGACTGTGGGGGACTCGGAAAGCTACCACTGGCAAAGGGACGCATATCGTCTTCACCTGATAAAGAAAACTGCCAGTTATTTTACCCGCAGGAATGGGATGAATCCGGGAAGAAATGGGAAGTGCCACGTGGAACAACAAGCTGAGTCAAAACCACAAGGCAGGTCCAGAGGATATTAAGGTTCGTGGTTTGGGGTGTAGTTGTTTGTTTGTTTTTGAGAAAAGAGGTCAGTTCAGAAGGCCTTTCTAGAAGTCCATTGGGGTAAACCGGGAGTGTGTAGTGCACTGGCTTCTCCCTGGGGGGATGATGATAGTGTCTCTAACTGTAGCCAGGTTAGTAACGGAGGGTCCCTGTGCAGTGTGAGGCCCCTGCAAGGTCAATCCGCCTCCTCCCTTTGGGGCTGCAAGGACCAGGAGGAGGGGGGCGCCGGCGCCCTTGCCAGCCCCTCCCGGCTGCGGCTGCGTGTTAGCCAGCTTCCCCTTGGTGAATTTTCTCAGTCCCCTGGAGCCTCCAGGAGGGAAGGTGGCCTGCCGACATCGCCACTCTCACGTCTGGTGGGATCCTTTCTGGGACTTTTCACCCACAGAACTGTCAGATAAACAATGTGTGTTCTTCGCGGCCTCTAAGTTTATGGCGAGGTGGGACCACAGCCACAGGAAACCCACGTCAAGGGTCCAGCTCATCGCATGAGCGTAGTAAGGTCTGTGGATGGAATAAATTGTGTATAAATCCTGCAGGCTGTGTCTTCGGTTGTCAGGTCAAGGACTGTTGTCACATGGTGAGGTGTGAGGTACCTGCTGGTGTGAGGTGGGCCAGGAGTGAAAGGTCCAGAAAGGATTCTTCGTTCCCCTGTTGCCTCTGGCATCAGCATGTGACTCTTGGTCTCGGCTCGGGTTTGTGAGATTGAGCCTCGAGACAGGCCTTGTGCTGTCAGTGGGGAGCCTGCTGGGATTCTCCCTCTCCCTCTCTCTCTCCAAAAAGAAACTTAAAAGAAAAATAGAGAAGGAATACTTGAGACATTTTGGTGGATACAGCTTTCTATATAAAGCACAGGACAGGATAGGGGACAGGAGGAGCTGCCCTGGGATTGTGAGGTGTGACTGGTTACAGACTTGTAATTTGGGGTGGGGGCTGGGGGCGTGGAGGTAACTGCATTTTCCAACAGGACCTCTCATGTGCAGGAAGCGTGCAGGCGCCCTGGAGCTCTGCCCCTCCCCAGGCCAGGGCTGCTGTGGGCTCCCGCAGGGCAGGACCTCACAGGCAGGGGGCAGCTCCTGAGGAGGGTCCCCAGCAGCCTGACACAGGCACTACCCAGTGGGCTGCAAAGTGTAAGGAAACTGAACTTCATCTACATTTCTTTTGCCTTTGGTCTCCTCATCACCTGCCATCTTCTTTCTTTCCATTCTTTTCTGTAGGATTCATAGGGTCCTCCCTGCCCAGGCTCAGCAAGCGCCTATGCAGAGTGGAGGCCATTGGTGGTCACGCACATTGATTGTGTACTTTTCTTTTGTCTCTTTAAAAAAATTTTTTTTTATTGTTTTATTTAGTTCAGAGAGAGAGAGAGAGAGAGATAGTGAGAGTGAGAGACCGCATGAGCAGGAGAGAGTCAGAGAGCGAGAGAGACACAGAATCTGAAATAGGCTCCAGACTCTGAGCTGTCAGCACAGAGACCAATGCGGGGCTCGAACCCATGTACTGTGAGATCATGACCTGAGCTGAAGTCGGAGGCCTAACCGACTTAGCCACCCAGATGCCGAAATGTGTACTTTTCAAGAGCAGGCTAAGTTCTTTTCACAAGGAGGGGAAACACATAACTCACAAACAGGTAAATATAGGAGAACCTCCTCTCACGGGTACATTTTTGTGGCACGAGCTCTCTTAAGGCACAAGCTACTTCTCAACTTGCCACAAAGGGCGAAGTGCAAGCATGGCTTCAGGGCTTCTCCCCACCATGAACCTGCCCGGATCCTGAGCAGACCTGAGGGTTATGGGTGTCACAAGCGGTTGCTTTCCTCAGTGTGATGTACACGGAATGACTTTTGCTGAAGCACCGAGATCTCACTGGTTACTGATCCTTCGACCAGGCCTGGCAGCGCAGGGCTGGAGGCGGAACTGCCTGGAATCATCACGGGGCAGCACAGCCTCCCGCTGGGCTCTGCCTCCTAACTGTTTACAGGCTTGTCCGTTCTGCAGGTTGGGCCAGCGAGTTCCTCTGCTGACAGCCAAAGGCACTCATGGAAAGACCTAAACAACCAAGTGTGGGCACATGGGGGTTCACTGCATCTACCAGGAAAGTAGGGCCCGTGTCTGCCTCAGGTGGGAGTGTTCTGTTGGATCTCTTGCTACTGGAGGGGGCGGGTGGTGGTGAGGACAGTGAGGGTTTTGTTGTATTGCCGTCTGTGTTAATTGTGTAGCTCTTTCTAGGAAATCATTGTGGACTGACAGCTCTGTGTTAATAGCTGGAAGGAAGAAGGACCTACTAAGGACTCTTCCTGAGGAATATTTGCAGATGCCAACGTTTGTGGAATGACTTCTGTGCCTCTCAGTTAAAGGTTCTCAGTTAAGGTAAACCACTTTTATTCGTACCTTTGGGTCAGTGTTAGAGAGCAGTATTTTTGAAAGTGTGGTCTGCAGCCCATGTGCATAGGAGTCAGCTGGGTATTGATGTAGGAAATGCAGTTTCCGGGGCCCCACACCAACCACATCTCTTGGGCTTGGAGCCAGGGCGCAGCTCCTGTGATCTCCACTGCTGCTTCTAAACTTTCCAAAGCTAACAACCAGTCTCTCTTATTTTTAGATTGGGGATTCTCACACAACGACAAGGAAGGCAGAACTTCTTCCTTTACTGCAAAGACTTGAAATCTAGACCGTGACCTAGTTAGGGACAAGTGTCTTTCCTACTCTCACACACTCAGCCTAGAGGCTGGTGCCGATATCAGAAATGAAGCAGGTGAGGATAAATGTTTTATTTCTTTATACACGTTTACGTTCATAGCCACCAAAGACTGTGTTTCATCTCCTCTGACGGCCCCTGACCCCAGGTGTGTGGCCCCAAACATCTCGCTCTAGCAACATAGAGAAGCACCTATGGTACATTTATACACACGGACATGCGTTCCAAAGCACCGCGATGACACAGACGAGGCTGTCCCACAGCGGGGGCCTCTCAGGTGCCACTTAACTACGGTCACTGCGTTGTCTTACAAAGGACTTTCAGTGGGTCGTTCTGCCCACAAGTCCCAGGTCCCCGGAGAGGAGTTAGTGAAAGGGGACAGTGTGATTAGGGTGAGGGCGTCGCCACACCTTGGAGACCATACATGGAAATGGGAGGTGCCAGGCTAAGTGGGATATGGCATGGGGGAAGCCAGCACTTGCCACGTGGATTCAGAGCACTCAGGTGCTGCAGTGTAGACTGCCGCCCAGGCCCCGCTGGCCTGGCTGAGCTGGCCCCGAGTGAGCGTGCATCTGGGAGCAGTGCCGGCTGAGTCTGCTGTCCCTTAGGGCACCGCGGTCACTCATGTGGTATAGAACTGCTGTGGAGCCCTGTGTGGTGACCACGTGTCCCCCCTGGAGGAAGCAGTGTCCTGTGTCCCCTGGGAGACCAGCTGAGGACAGGCTCTGATGGGAGGAGTGGCCGTTGCTAGTCCCAGGCCACTGTGGCGTCTAGGAACGTGTCCCCAGGGTGGACACACCTGCCTGTTGTGCTCAGGGCTGGGCCAGGCACATCCCAGCCAATGGTGCTCTGGTGGTGCTCCTGCCCCGCGGGCGGTGGTGTGTGCTCTGTGCCTCTCACCCTCCTCCACCAGCACCGCCTCTGGCTCCTTCTGGGCCCTCCAGCAGGTGTGGATGACAGGGCCCAGGTCTCCTAGCAGACTGGGAGCTGCACCCGAGGGGGACGGGCCCCTCCTTCCTGCTGCTTGAATGACTTCTGGAGGCTCCTTCTCCTGCGTGGCTCCTGGAAGACACGGGTCACCAGACTGGGGTGCCCAGAGGAGCCCTCAGGGACTTCACCTGGGGATAAAAATGCAACAAAGTGAGAGACCATCGTCAGGGCCTGCTGGTGGCTCCCTGAGCTGCAGTGAGTGCTTGGTGACAGCCAGGATGTCAATGACAGCCTGTCAGGTGGATGAGCTGGGGGAGGGGCTGCTGTCCTTTGGAGCCTCTGGTGCCACCAGGTGAGAGGGAAAGCTTCCCCACCCCCTTGGGTGGCCTTGGCTCTACTGGGAGCCGGAGCCGCTGCAAGCTTGGTGCCTGTATACTCCCCCTTCTGGAGCCTGTTCACACCCCAGGTCCCTGGGAGCAAATGATGGCTTCTGTGACCTCCCAGGAATGGACACGCTTAGCATAAGACATGCACATGTAGAAACAGCCTGTTGTAGGATGGAGGAGACAGGTGCAGAGAAGTCCCCTGTGAAGTTCATTTTCAGCTCACTTAATGAGGAGGGGGAAGGGCCAAGTTAGCAGGGAGCTCAGAGGTCCCCTAAGCCCAGTGCCACCTCCTACCGGTGAGGAGCGGTGGGCTCACACAGACTGAGGGGCCTGCCACAACTGTGGGGTTGGTTGGTTGGTGACAGTTCTGGGAGGAGACCCAGCCCCGGACCCTTTCCATGGGTCTCTCAGAAGCGTGGAGGAAACTTCCAAACAAGGGGAAGCCCGTGGGTAACTGGGGCTGTGGGTTACCTTTGCTGGGACAGGAATAAGGCTTTACAGAGGCCATCTTGTAACTGTTCTTCTAAAGAGGCTCAGGAAAGAAAGGAATCATCAGAGAAAAATGAAAGGGAATTAGCCAAAAAAAGAAAAAAAAAAAAAAAGGGAGGGTGAAGTCATGGTCCGACCCATTTTCACACTGTGGGATCAGCGTTCTCTCAGGTTACAGTTAGGGAACATTCCTAAGAATAGGCCCCAACTGCTTCTGGCAAAGCTTTGAAGTCCAAGCAAAAGGTTTAGTTTCTGATTTGCAAGCCATTTCCTACACTTCACATGTTTCTTGGGCATAATCTGCTGGGAATGTGTTAGTGTAGGGAATGTGTTAGTATTTTATGTAAATCTACAGATTGTCTGCCATTTGGATAAAATGTGTCCCTTCAAGTTCCATTTTTATTTATCATATTCTGTTTTAGATCGATAAGACCCAATGGTTTCCTTTGGGAAAAGATATATCAAAGCTGAATTGCTGTTCTCAGCCCCATTGAGGGTGGGGTGGACTCAACAGATTCGGTGGTTATCTTGGGTTTATTTTTCCTGAGGTGGGAAGTGCTCCAGGAAACAGCAGACCCGGCCCCGGCACCCTCTCCCGGAAGCTCATTCAGAGGCAGACTCCCCATGTCCTCTGACCTTGACAATCAACTCACTTGCTTTCCTCGGACTCCTGACTTGGCCTACAGGAGGGAAGAAGTGGGGTGAGGAGACAAGGGGGTGACAATGTGACAGGGAACCGAGATGGCAGGGGAGGGGCAGGGAGGGGAGCTAGAAGAACATTTATTGAGGACCTGAGTCCTCCATGTGGACAGGAAATCTTCTGGAAGGTTAGAGCGGGTCGGGGATCACCTGCAGACTCTGAAGACAGGTGGGGATGGATGTGGGCTGGGCTCTGTGGCTCTGTCTGGTGTAGGGGCCCCCTTACCTCCAAGTTCGTCCTTGCCTTCTTCAACACGTCATGTGTCCTGGTCACTGAAAGAACAAAACCGCCCAACACGGCAGGATCACCAGCTGGGCCCGTACCCGCCTTGGGGTGTGTGTTGTGAAGTGTGTCCTTCTGGCCACTCAGCTCAGGGTCTCCGGCTGCCCCCAGGTGCCCCTCCTCCCTCTGCATCCATAATCACTTATGGCATGGGAAGTCTGGGGACATCACATCAGTGTGCCCTCTCCCCTAGTCTGTGCGGTCACCGTCCAACCGCAGCACGAGTGGGTAGTCTGGAAGCCCCCCTTCCCACCCCCAACTTCCTCTCCTGTCTCTCAGCTCTGAGGCACCCACACTGGCTGAAGATGAACCGCTCCATGCTCTCCTTCTGCTGATTGGCGGTCTTCAGACGCTCAGCTGTGCTCTGAAGGAGATTCTCCTTTGCGGACAATTTGGTTCTCAGTTCCAGAAGTTCCCTTTTCATGGACTGTCCCTGAGAAAGAAACTGGCTTTGTGACAGTGGTCAGAAGGCCCAAGCACCCCATGCTCTGTGGCTCTTGAAAATCGAAAATGTGATTCTACGATCTTCTCAACTATTTCTGGCCTGGGTTCTCTCCCTGAAAGCCTCTAACACTCTCCAGCAGACGCCCACTTAGGGTGGTCTGGAGCATTAGGATTCAGTAGGAACCCTGAGAACTTGCAGATGAACGCAGGCCTCCACTCCTGTTACCGAAGAGAACCTGACTCCAGGCAGGACTGAACTCCTGGCTGTTGAAAACGAAAGTGGCCACGTTTAGTGCTGACATCACTTCTGGCGCTCTGGCATCATGAATACGACTTACCTGTTGGGAATGTGATGCCCAGAGAGAGAGGGCTGGCCCGAGAGAGTCAGATTTTGTAGATATTTGTACCAATTTCAAGATGGCAAAACACCCCCTCGCCTGGCACTGGCATAGCTGGTCCCATAAGGTGTCAGTGACATTAATCTAGCTTCAGAATCCCGGGGTGGGGGGGAGATGGAGAAACCTTCCTGTCTGAGGTCCCAGCAAGCAGAGCCCAGGCCTCGTGTCTGAGGGCACCTGGCGGGGGTGGGGGGAGGGTGGACTCAAGACCTGGCCCCGAGATGCAGAGGTGAGCTATGTGTTGTGATGCAGTGGGTGGCTTCTAGAGCCTGGTCATCTCATGGTGACATTCTGTGGGAGTGGCATGGTGATGTTCTGTGTGACGCGTTCCCATGCCCCTGAAGTCTTCAGTTCAGCCAAGTTCAGAAAGTGAAAGAAAGCGAACACTCGTGGGCCCCCAGGGCTCTCCTGCGCTGCCCCTCTCACAGTCTACTCCTCTGTCTTTGCCAGGGGTGGGAGGAGAAGGGATGTCGTCGGAGCCGCACTGCAAGCAGCCAGCACAGATGACAGGCGTCCCTCGTGGACACTCCTCTAAGGAGCCTCTCTCTGTCCCTACTCACTGTCCGGCTCCTGACCTTCAGGACCTGTGGGACTGAGGAAGTGGGTGACATTTGGAGCAGAAGCAGGGAAGGATGCTGGCACTCACCGTGATGCTGGCCGGCACGGGGCTGGGGGGGCTCGGCAGGGCCGCTCGCCAGAACATGGTGAGGAGGGAGGCCGACTCCTCCAGCGTGCGCTGCAGGGCCTGGGCGCTGCTCCCAAGTTCATGGATGCCTTTGCTACCTGGCACCTGGGAGAGGGGGTGAGATACCCCTGGTCGTCACGGGGGCCCAGCGATGGCTCTCTCCCACCCCTCCCCACCGCAGCACTCGGGGCTCTCAGGCTTCCTTTGTGAGTGAGGCACAGCCATTGGCCTGCTTGACCCTGTGAAGCCCTGCTCTGACCTGGAAACCTAGGGTCTCCGCCTCAGCAGTGACCTCCAACTGGCAAGAAGCATTAGATTCCGGCTTCCCTCATATGCTCTATAGGCTTCCAGTCCTGATCTGAGCTCTCAGGTCTAAGGTCCTGGATTTTGGCATTGGCACCACTGTGCAAACCCTAAGTCACACCTTCTGCTTCAGCTGGGCTGAACCATCTGTGGCGTCAAGGACTGAGGTGCCATTCCCTTTACCTGGAACAGCATCCTCCGTCACCCAGAGGACCTATGCCCACCTGCCTACCCCCCCACCCCCCAGTGCCTCCTCTAGGACCCCGTGCCTTTCCTTGCCTGGCACAATGGCTCCTCTGTGTTCATGCCCTCACAACTCAGAGGACGGCTTCTGACACTGAGCCCTGACCCTCTGTTGTCCTTATTTACATGGACGTGTGGCCTTCTCTCTGGGGCGGGGCCTCCTGGGGACAGGGCTGTCCCCACATGTCCGGGCAACTCCAGTGGCTCAGACAGCACAGCAGCTGGTGCCTGTTCTCCGAGCCAGGAAGTGCTGTGAGAAGGCTCCCCGCCTGCTTCCCTGCCCTGCTCAGTCTGCACAGAGAAATCTCATGGCTGCTGCCCCCCCCCAACATGGGGTCCATCTGGATGCAAATCTGGAATCCCCAGCCCTCTGATTAAATGATTTTACCCTGCACATGGATGGCCATGAGCCAGCGTGACCAGACCAGATAATAAGAGACCAGAGGGTGCTCAGGACAGCACCACATGTATGCCAGAGCTCAGCAAATACTCTACAGATGAGGATGGTAATGCTGTGCGGGTGCCTCTGTGGTTCTGAGAGGAAATATTGGTCAGAGCAGAGTTTATGGCAAAAATGGGATGGAGAAGAACGGCCTGTCTGGGGGTAAGTAGCAGACGTATCCTTGGCTGTGGGGGATGTCCGGCATGGGAGAAGGAGCTGAGATCTGAAGGAGGAGCACCTAAGACCTACTTGTGGTTACCTCTGAGCGCCGAGCTTCAAGGCCAGCGGCGATGCAGGTTGACCTCACGAGTGCTGCTATCTTTTTGACCAGCAGTTCTCCTTCCCCAATTTGCTGTCTGAGGGCACTGTAGTCATCAATGTGGCCAATGACATGGCGGCCATGCTTATTGGCAAAGGAACCGTCTGTGGCTTCACCTTCTAGCTTGGGGGAGTTCTTCATTATTGGAGAAGTGTCCAAACCCAGCTCTGAAAAACAAAACCACAGCAACATAGAATCCACAGTGATAGGCAAATCCTCAGCCCACTTCCCTCTGGAAGAGACATCAAATCGTGAAAGAGGCCAGGAACAGGAAAGGCACTCTGGGAAAGTACAAGCAAGGTGTGAAGTCCATAGATTTCTGGGCTCTGTATTTTTATAATCTTTCTTACATCATCTCATAATGATAAAATTGCCATGGGGCCAATTTTATTCTCCTTGACAAATGAATATTCGAGAAAAATATTATTTTCATTAAAAAATATTTTTAAAAATTTTAACTTCTGGTTAAAAAGACACAGATATAAAAGTTAAGCTGGACACAGAAAGTGCTTTCGAGAAGGGAGGGATCACAGTGCAATGATGTACAACAGAGCAACAGGAAAACCACAGGAGGAAGAATTAGGGCAAGAAAGGTGGCCACTGAAGGCGCAATGAGCAGGGCCAAAGACCTTGGGACCCAGCGAGAAAAATCTCTAGAATCAAACAATGTGTCCATTAGCATCCAATGGTCACTTGCATTGATAAAATTTTCCATCATCAGTCCCTGAATCCTTCAGCTGCTGTATTTACCATTTGTCCTGTTGAAGACGGCAGTCTCCGAGCGCGGAGCAGCAGGAGAAGAACCAGGGGGCACGAGAGCTGGAGAATTCATGCCAACATCTCGGACCGGAGGGGAAGCAACTGAATCTAGGGCGTGAAGACAAGTTTTCAGGGACCCCGGAACACACTGCTCAACACGCACACACACAGCCTGGTCCTCACCAGCAGAGATCTAAGGCAGCATGGCTCGCCGCTTACACAATCATCACCCACAGACCATGAGTATAAGCAACTGCAAACAAATCCCTTAGTTTAGAATAAGAACAGGTTCTTTTAATGGAAGCGTGTTCTACAAGAAGCAACTCCTGGCTTGAAAAGTTATTAGGTACGTTTTTCTAACCCGTGTTTTGAATATAACCTTGTATGCAATGTCTAATACAATATCATGTGACTAAACCTAAATGGGCATACATACTTGTAGTGTATGTGTTAAAAAAAAATACTGACTTAAAGAACGAATGGAGTTGTGGGTGATTAAACTCAGCATTCCAATTCCCATTCTGACGCATCAGTGCTGGGAACAGTGTAGTTAGTAGGATGAGAAGAGTAGAGACAAAAGTCATGATGGGGTAGAGATGCCCTCCCGGAGACCAGGCAGCAGTCCCGTGGTGGAGGAACTGGAAGATATCACTGAGGAGACGGGAACAATCCTGCTCAGGCTCAGAGCCTGCTCTCCAGCTCAGGCCTCTGTGGAGGGTGAGGAGCAGGAGCCAGAGGCGCTGAGCCCAGGCTGGTGTTGTGGGGAGGCGGTGAAAGGGGAGAGCCCATAGGAGGGCAGAGGGGAGATGTCACTGAGCACAGCAAGCATCGCAGCAGCCTGCCTAGAGGCAGCCGTTTCTGCGGGGCGTGCACGATGCTCGCAGCCCACCAGACACTTTATTTGATGGCCACACACATCATCTTGGAAGTGTAACCTTCATTTGACAGATGGGGTCATTGTCCAGTCAATGAAGAGGGGGGTAGGGATTAACATGCCCCAGGAAGGGGCACCTGGGTGGCTCAGTTGGTTGAGCGTCCGACTTTGGCTCAGGTCATGATCTCATGGTTCGTGGATTTGAGCCCCGCACTGGGCTCTGTGCTGACAGCTCAGAGCCTGTAGCCTGTTTCGGATTCTGTATCTCCCTCTCTCTGTGACTCTCCCCTGCTCAAGCTCTCTTTCAGAAATTAAAAAAACAAACAAAACAAACAAACAAAAAAAAACATGCCCCAGGAAGAGCAGGCATGAAAGTCCGAAAGCACAGCTCTAGATAATCCTGAGCAGAAATGGTTCCTATTAGAATACAATTGAAAACACACCATGGAAGGGAGAGGAGATGGTGAATTAAATGGTGCATCACAAGGAAAGAAAGCAGAGGAAGATTAAATGAATGTGCCAAGATGGGGAGGGGCAGTATTAACACTCAGCTTGAAGCTGGGGGATGAGAGGTGGATGAAGGGCATCGAGAAGAAGGAGACAGTTGGTATCTGGAAGGGCAGGAGAGGTGGATGACAGCCACTGCTCCCCCATCCCCCACTTTCCCACAGCAGGACTGCCTTGGGGACGGGAACGTTTTCCACCCAGCTGAATTCCTCTTAAATTAGGGAATGGGAAACCAGGCTAGGGATCTGGGAAGGCCAGTGATACCGAGACGGCATGTCGTGAGGAGGAAGGACAGAGGGTGGAAAGCAAAACATCTGGTTGGAATCCTGCGTCGGTCTTAGCTACTGCTGACACCTTAGTGCACCAGTTAACGTTTCAAAGCCAGGGTTTTCCCACATGAAATACAGAGAGTTAAAGCCTCCCCTTCCCTGGACAAAATTATTTGAAAAATTGTTGAAAGCTCACAGTAAATTTTAAAGCACTCCACAGATAAAAGGAATAGATGTTAACACACACAGCTGTCAACTGCTGAGCGATTCTTACTGTCCCGGGCACTTGTAAATTATGTCATTTAATGCTCCAAATGATCATACAACTTATATATGACCATCATCCTCACCTTGAAGATGAGGAAACTAAGGCTTCAGTACGTGGGGACTTAAAACACCCTGCCTAAGGCAGACAACCTATATGTGGCAAACTCAGAAGCTGGAGCCGGGTGTGACCCTAAATCCCAGGCTCTCACCCGAGGCTATAGATTGAGGCACCTTGATTTCACTCTGACCTTAAGGGGTGCGGAAGAGGTAAGATGGTCCCTTCCACCATAGGCATCCTGGTGACTGCCCCACCAGCTGCCCGCTTCCTGGCCCCCTTTTCCTTCCTACCTTGGAAGGGCAGCTGCTTGTTTCCGGGGTCCTCCTGGTTGGCGGGGGAGGGGCCGAGGCGGGCTTTGCTCACCCCACCGTCCAGCTGCTGTTCCAGCTGCAGCCGCAGACAGTTGTTCACCTGGATGCTCTGCTCCAGCTGCCCCCGCAAAGCTCGGATCTCTGCCACCAGGTGGCTCAAGTCACTGTTTAAAGGGACCTGGTGACAGGCATCCCAGGTGAAAGCTGAGAGGAGAGAGAGGAGGGGTCCAGTGGCACCGATCCAGGCATTTCCAAGCAATTGTCAGAACGCTACTCTGGGATGTTCCTTTCTGCTCAGGATCCTACTGTCATCTCAGGGTCCTGGATAACACATCTGGGAGGGAGCTGCCACGTTTCCCACATGGGGCCTGAGAGACCACACACTGGGACTTATGACACCCGAGGCTCCCGGGAGCCATGCCCCATATGCATCTACAGAGCCGTTGAGGGGCAGATGAGGTCAAGCCTGTTTATTCACCTCCATAGTGACCCTAGCCCTACAGGCCAGAGGGGCAGGGTCTTCCCAAGATAGGGCGTCACACTGGATAGAGAAGGACAGTAGCTGAGGCAGGAGGAGATCTGATGGCATCCACACTCAGGAGTGGCCGCAGGGAGGATGGGAAGGGGAGGGCCCCAGGCCTTTGGCAGCATGTAGGAACTTGAGTCTCCACTACAGGCCCAGGGTCACAATTCACGGGCTTGTTCGACTTCCCCATGTTTTTTTCAGCCTCCATTTACCACACACAGTCTGCTCTCCATACTGGGGATGAAGAGAGCTGAGAAATTTTCTACACGACCACAACCTCTTATCTGAAACTTTGAAGCCAAATATATTTCAAAAAGTAGAATTCATTTTGGTGTTTAGGAAGGCAGTAGAATTCATATACCATTGATCACATAGCACATGCACCCAGGTGCATCTGGGCCCCGGGCCTTAGTCAAACACATTCCTATCTGTGGTGGGCTAGGTGAATATTCTCACTGAGTGGGATGAGTAAAGGCTCTGAATACCCTTTGGGTGAGTTCAGACAGATCTTGTGACCAAACGAATATATGAGAAAGAATTCAATTCGTAGCTCTTACTGGATTGCAGAATTAAGGATAAGAAGTTATGGGGCTTTAGTGGTAGTGGCTTTGAAATGACTCCTAAAACACCCATAAAAATGGAGAATGGCATGAAATTGGATGTGGTCGGGATGAAGTGGTTTCCAGATACTAACTCCAAAGTTCCATGAAGCTCCTTCCTGTCTTTCTTTTCCTAAATCCAAACTCTCACAGTTGTGCTTTTTTTTTTTTTTTTGAAATTTTAAGGTCGGTTTATTAAGTTCAATGATGAAAGCTATCAGAAGAATATTCTCCTGAAAATTATTTTCTCTTAGAAAAAAGAAAGAAAAATCAACACCTCAGCACAGCCACAGATGCTGTGGCAGTCACGCCGCTCTGCACATGGGGACAGTCCATTAGTCAGTCAAATCACTCTCTGGGTCAGCAGGATTATAGTCCGGATCATCCTCTAGCTCCAAGTCATCCATTTCCTGGAACAGAGACTCATCTACCTCCACACTGTTTCCAGCATCCTCCAAAAACTGGATATCAGATGTGTCAAGATTATGGTCTGTTTCAAATAGCTGTTTCCCACTTAATTTATTTTTTCCTGCTTGCTCTTCTTCTTTCATTCGTTTCTTTTTAATTTCCAAGAGTTCTGCATCAAACTTGGCTTTCCAACTTAAGAAATTCTCAATTGTAACTGGAGTGCCATGAAATAATTGCTTTTCAGCTTCTTCTGCTTCTTTTTCTTTTTGTTTCTTTTCTTCTTCTCTTCTTGTTTTTATTTGATCTACTATTTTATTTAATTTTTCTTGCACAGCTGTCACTAAAGTAAAGATCATCACCATACCAAGATTTTCTTCTGCCTGTAATGGTAATAGTTTTAAAATATCTGAGACATCATTATCTTCTAGATTTTCCTGGGGGAATATTTCATAAAGAGGGGCTTCATCTGGGTATTTTTCACTATATGTAAACTTGAGGGTAGTCTGGACAGTTTCATCATTTTCTCCAGCTTCAGACGTCACAGTAATGGTGAAACTGGGTGGATTTTCTGATAATACTGTGAAGGAGTCGGGGTAGATGGACTCCAGAGCCTCCAGCTCTTTGCGCTGCTCCTCGCCGTAATCTGTCATCGTGGCCCTCGCCGCTGCCCATGGACCGCCCAGCCACCCAGGCGACGCGCTGCAGCAGGGACCGAGGCCGCGTGGGGAGAGCAGGCCGCGGCCGCAAGGGCGCAGGTGCAGAGTCCCAGGCTGGGAGGCCCGGGGCCCAAAGCCAGGCCTGGCCTGCTGAGCAACAGCCCGGAACGGGCCTCCGCCTGCTCTCTAGTTCCGCGCTCGACTCCAGTTGTGCTTATTTTTAAAAGATGTTGTCCATCTATCCATTCCTTTTCATCTTCCCTTAGATCAGACTCATCACTTACATGCCCAAATGATCATTGCACCCATTCAGTAGGTTTCAAACCCTGATTCTACTGTCTCCTGACTCCAGTGTGTCCCACCAGCCTTACCCCATCTCAGAGTTCTGTTTCCATCCTGTACTTGTTTTGCTTGGAAAAAACATACTCATTTCTCATTGCTTGCTATGTAGAATGGAATCTTCCATTCTACCTTTGTAGATCTTCTATATACCAGCAGCTCTCATATCAACTGACCTGACTTTTCATACTCCCGAATACAATGCTCTCCATCAGAAGGTTGGAGCCGATGCTCCCACAGGTGCACACAGCTATTCTCTCAGCCTGTGGGGCCCCTGATATATCTACACGTGCTGGTTCACCTTCTCATCAACAAACTAGGAAATCCAGTCAGGCTTGATGAAAATTCAGAAATTTTCAATAGAAAATTCCATATTGCTTAAGGACTTTTCAAACATATAGTCAAAACAATTTATAATTGGAAGGCTTAGTAAGCCAACATCCCATCGAACACAGGAGCTGCTTCTATGGGATCCTTGACAAATCATCCTTTTCTATTTAAAGGGGCTTGGATGGGAAGCTTATTCCTTCACAAACCAGCAATTCCATCACCAGAAGGCTCTAGTAGTAAGGAAGGCATAATTACGTAAGTCCAAATTCCACTGTCTTGCACCCTCTGACCCTTGTTAAGCCCTCTGAAGGGACACCAAACACATCAGCTCTTTTTCAACTCATAGTTCTTCATATATTTAAAGCCAGTTCTCATCTCCTTGTGGTCTTTTCAGGCCTAAAATTGTTTTGTTTCTTCAACCAGTTCGAGATTTCCAGTCCCTTGGTATGGTGGCCCCTGTCTTCACTGTGTTCCTTGGTGTGTCAATGTCCCTTTTACAAGATGGTGCCCCATAATCTAACAATATTTCTGACATGGCATCTCCATATGGACTCTTATGTACTCTTATAGTGCAGTACTGTGGTCTCAGGTTGAGTTGGCTTTGGTAGGAACCTTGACCTACGAGTTCCTTGTCTAGATGGGTTTCTACCTAACTCCCCATCTTCAAGCCCATGAATGGCTAAAGAGCCAGGCTTCTCCATCCTGAACTTCTACCACTGATATTTTTAATCAAGCTCAGGTTTGTTTTCTTTTTTTAATCTTTTCCAAATTGCATCATATCGACATTAGTCCTCTGTTCCAGCCTGGTTGGATTTATTAACTTGATGTTTAGAATATTTCCCCACGTGAAGAACAATGGGGAAATAGAAGAAGACTCTCAAACAGTAGATTAGTATTTTAGCAGACGGCAAAAGTCCTCAATAAAACAGTTTAAATCCATGCTTGAAGTTCAGGTCCTATTAGTGGTATTTCTGTAAATGTTTTGGGGATCTTTTGATTTTCTCCCTGGGGAATGGGTCATTGTGGGGGCCGGTTGTCTGGTGTACTAGCTGCATGGATGGTCAGCATGTGTTATTCACAGAATTCAAGACCTTCTCACATGACAGTGCCATCAGGGCAGTTCTTTGAATTAAAAAAAAAATCACTATATAATCTGGACTTTGGTCAACTTTTCCCTGGCCATCTTGGACTCTTGAGGCCTACGTTTAAGGATGTCTCGGATGGATCTTGCTCCTGTTCCCGACCTCTGGGCTTTGTGCATGAGAAACCCCCTCTCTTCTTACTGGGCACCCCAGGCCTGGCTGGGAGTTTCCAAGGCAGAGCCCCACAGCTTTCCGGAGCTCTACAACTCCCAGGGTAAAGACCTCACCGGGCTTCTAACCAAGAGCAGGAAGCTCAAGGAGTGGGGGAGCAGGGGGAGCACATACCTTGCAGCCCCTTCTTGGGACTGCCGTAAAGTGCCTCGTAGATCTGTAGCTCTGACTGGAGGGACTGGAAGAGCTGCTGTTTCTCTTCACACTGTTGCTGCAGGAGGGCCAGCTTGTGCTGCAGCCTGCAGGGGAGAGGCGAAGGCCCGCTGAGCTGCCGGGACCCCGCGGCCGCTCCAGGGCAGCCAGCCGTCAGCCAGCCTCTGCATCGAGTGTTTTAGCTCTAGATGTCAACCCTGGGGTCATGACGACCATCACTTTCACATTACAGACGTGGAAACAGAGGCTCTGAGGGTTGAAGTAACTTTGCTTGAAGTCACATTGGCAAGGATTCTCACTGCCCCCATGGTGCTCTTTTCAGGCAGTTATGGGGTTCATGGTGAGGACCAGCATGATGGCTAGTGTGGGTGCTTCCTACATTATGGTGAATCTAATACCCTTAAACTAACTGGAAGGACGAGAACATTCTTTCCCGAGGATCTGATCTGCTGAAGCCTTCTAAAACAGGGTTTTCCTCTCCCAACTTTGGAGTGAAAAAGGCATTCCCAGAGAAGCCCTTCCCCCTGCTCACGGTCACCTGTAAATCAGGAAGAGCAGAAGGGAAACTGAGGGTTCCAAAAGGCACCAGTGTCTGTCCTGCCAATATCCTTTATCTAAATCAGAAAATGGGGCCACCTTCCTCATCACTGGGCTCCCTCTTACCTGGAGTCTTTCTCTTGGAGGGATAGTCGTTCCTCCTGGAAATGCAAGATCTCCTGCTGCTTCTCCTTCAAGTCTACCAAAAGCTGCTGCCGCTCCCCCTTCTGGTGCTCCAGCGCCAGCTCCAGCTCTTGAAGCCGCGACCGAGAGGACAGCAGGGCCTCCCTCAAGCACTCCGTCTCCTGGGAGTGCTCTGGGAAGCAGAACACAGTGATGTGCACACTGTGGGGCCAGAGCCCAAGCTCACCCATCCTGACATGCAGAACCAAGGTGACAGGAAGGCCATCACACTACAGCTGTCCCAGGAGGCAGAGAGCGTTGGCTCACCACGTCCACACACCTGAGACTGGAGCCTCCCCCTTGCAATGCCCTTGAGCTTCTCATTTCATAAGGTCTACCTTGCTTCTAGACAAAACGCTATGCTTTCTAATGCTCACTATTTTCTAGGCTCCCATGCCCTCCGCACTATAACCCATTCTTGAGTTTTGTCAAAGATCAACATTACGACTCCTTGTCTACAGTTTTCAGAATCTATTATAGTCATCAATTTGAAAACAGGGACATCTGTTCTTTTCTGGGCTTGTGGCATCTCTCTGATCTGCAGGCTTTCTCAGGGACCATCGGCGGGGATCCTGGCATCAGGCTGCAGGTTCTGTCAGTCCTCGTGGGGGACGCCCTCAGGCCCGGCAGACTATACTTGCTCACATCTTAGCGTCTTCCCCTGGGGGGTCTGTGCTAGCCTGTCCCGGCACGCGATGGTGGCTTAAGAGTTGTGCCTCCTCTCTTATCTGTCAAGTCTTGTTCCTTCCCCATCTATGACCTTTCCCCTCACATCTTCCTGCTCTGAAGAGGCAAATTTAGAAATATCACTTGATGTGTCTTCCCCTTCTACAAGCATTCTTTCATTCTGGGCTTAATCCTTTCTGAAACCATTCATCTTGTATGGCTATTCAATAAATATTTGCAAATAAACGTCATTTGTTATTGATAACATATTGATTTGATCAAGTCAATTAAGACTAAGGTCAGCTGCCCCCCAGGTCAGAGAAATGGCCCCCTTGGATGCCCACTGAATAGTGTTAGGAAAGCTCCAAAAGACATTTTGCTGGTGCCTCCAGACACTGAGTCCTGAGGATCACTAACCAGAGAGGAATCCCGAAAGCGTGCGTGAGGGGAGGCGGTGAGGAGACAGCATGGCAGATCTGTACCAGGGGGAACACAGGGGGCTGCAGTAAGGTCTGCACAGGTAGAACTGGCCTAGCTGGTATCCCGTTTCATAACTACTGAGTATATCTGAGTATCTATAGGCTGCACAGAGGTGGTGGAGATCTGAGAGTCTGTGAGAGTTTTACGTGTCTCCGGAGCCTGGGGTGTGAGGGCCCATGGCTGGGACCTCTCAGGAAGTGATCCCTCCTAGACCCGAGAAGAGCCATGGGACTTTGGGTTGGCAGATCTGGTTAGTGGTTATGTCTACCTTCTTCTCTTGGCTTCTCCAGTTGGTGACTGGTGTGGCCAGGGAGGAAAGGGACCCGGGAACGAGCACGGTTGGAGGCTTTTACCACCTACCTCTGGAAACATGACTCAGCTGAGCCTGAAGGCTCCGGTTTTCTTCCTTAAGGACTTTGTTCTCGTTGTAGAGCTGAGCTGTGGGTTCCAGGCTGGGACTGTAGAAACTAGAGGTGGCTCCTGTCCCGGAAAGTGTAATCAGACATTTTACACACGTGGGTAACAGATGCGTTCAGAAGTTACCTGTTCTGTAGCTCTAGAAATACTGGCCCAACCCAGCAGGAAGGCCTGGGGACTCGAGGCGTGGCCCCAAAGCCTGATGGGCCTTGTTTCGGTGTGCCCGTCAGTCACCATGTGCCCTGGCTGCTGTTTTCAGGAAGCTCTTGCCCCTAAATAGCTGCTGCTGTGCTGTGGGCAAAACAGGGGGGTGGGGGGGTGGGGGGTGGGGATGGGGGGCAGGCGTGGGAGGAACGGCCTCCAAGTTTGTCACTTGGGCCTGGGAGGAGTCTGTGGGGATAAAGGCCACCGCGCTAAGTGGCTGGGGGAGGTCCCAGTGGCTCTACCACTGGCCAATCCAGACACAAGACACAGAGAGGTCAGCAGGCAGTTCTGGGAGCAGACTCAGGGTGGGACGAGAAGTCGGGCACCCCGTGGACACAGTGTGTTAGTTAGCTGGTGTCTATCTGCATAATAGTACCTGTTCCCCGTCCCCCCCCCCCCCCCCCCCGCCCCGAGCTTGCTGGACGGTCTGGAAAGAGGAAGTGGAGTGAAGTCCAGCACGGTGAGAGTGTGAGGCTCAGTCCCAGGGCCCTCTCCGCTAAAGCCCCCCCAGTGGTGACCACAGATGAGCAGCTAGGGCGTCTCCTACCGTTCCCGCGGGCCGCGCAGCTGAGCCTGTGCTCCAGTTGCTCCCGCAGCCGGTCGTTGATGCAGATGGACTCCTCCAGGCGCTGGCGCAGGTTCCGGATCTCCCCGAGGTGCTCCTCAAGCAGGTCGGCCCCTGCAGCCACCCGGGAAAGATGGAGATGGAGAATCTTGGTCACTGGTGGGGCGCCGGTGGGGGTGGGGCTTCGCCAGGGGCCCCGCAGCAGGATCCCCAAACACCCCCACCCTTCCGCCACTGCATTCCCTCTAGCAGGGGCACTCAGGAGCACAGCCACTTTGCTTAAAGAGAAAAGTGGCTTCATACCCGGGACAGCCTGGCACTAAGCACATTCCATGGGCCTCCTCCCACACAGGGGTAAGTGTGAGGGAGCTTTAAGTGTGAGTGTGCTGTGACCAGCGTAGTCGGTAAGGGAGTTCCACACAGTTTGGAAATACAGCTGAAGGGGCACTTGGGAGGCTCAGTCGGTTAAGCATCCGGCTCTTGATATCGGTTCAGGTTGTGATCTCGTGGTCATGAGTTCAAGCCCCATTGGGGGTGAGGAGGTGGGAGCTGTTAGCACAGAACCTGCTTGGGATTCTGTCTCCCTCTCTCTCTGCCCCTCCCCTGCTTACTCTCTCTCTCAAAATAAATAAATATTAAAAAAGAACTGAAGCATCTAGAAAGGTGTGGTGACCTCCTGAGTGTGAGTTTCTTTCCTGAGCGCAATAGGGAGGGCCTCACTCTACCCTGATACCGTTCCTTGTACTGATGCCCCACTGAACATTCTTTTTTTTTTTTTTTTTAAATGTTTTTTTTATTTTATTTCTAGGAGAGAGAGAGAGAGACAGCATTAGAGGGGAGGGTCAGAGAGAGAGGGAGTCACAGACCGAAACAGGCTCCAGGCTCTGAGCTGGCAGTCAGCACAGAGCCCGACGCGGGGCTCGAACCCACGAACCGCGAGATCATGACCTAAGCGAAAGTCGGACGCTCAACCGACTAAGCCACCCAGGCGCCCCTGAACATTCTTTAACAAGGCCCTGAGCCCTTCTTCCAGCCTCAGGGAGAAGGCCTAAGGTGAAAGTACATGGACGTAAGCTCATCCTGTGTAGTTAGCACCTGACAGTTAGGGCACAAGGCGTGTCCCTGACTCTCCCAGTCCCTGGCACAGCACAGAGGCCCTGGGCAGGGAGGCTGAACGGTCCACTGTTAGAAAGGTCCAACACTGGGGCGCCTGGGTGGCTCAGTCGGTTCAGTGTCTGACTTCAGCTCAGGTCATGATCCCACGGTTCATGAGTTCTAGCCCTGTGTCAGGCTCTGTGCTGACAGCTTGGAACCTAGAGCCTGCTTCAGATTCTGTGTCTCTCTCTCTCTCTGCCCCTCCTCTGCTCGTGCTCTCTCAAAAATAAATAAATGTTAAAAAAAAAAAATAAAAAGAAAGAAAGAAAGAAAGGTCAAGCACTGAGTGGGCCCTTTTTAATTTTTATTTTAATGTCAATTGTATTTTTATTATTGTTTTATTTTTTTGTCTTTTTTTAAAGTATAATTTATTGACAGATTGGTTTCCATACAACACCCAGTGCCCATCCCAACAAGTGAGAGGGCCCTTTTTTAAAGACTGTATTAATTAATTAATTTAGAAAGAGAGCATGCAGGTGACTGAGGGGCAGAAAGAGAGAATCCTATGAGGTGCAGAGAGAGAGGAGGAGAGAGAGGAAGAGAGAGCGTGAGAGAGAGTGCAGAGCCCAGCTCGGGGCCCGAGCTCACCCGATGGGCTCTAGCGGAGAGGACTCTTTCATTTCCTCCCAACTCTGTAAGGCAGGGACTAGAGAAGCAATAAAAAACGCCCCTGGCCCAGGTACGAGAGCGGGAGACTCTAATGAGAGTTCGTTCCACAGGCCGACTTGCTCCGCTCTGTTTACCTGTGGGTTTGGCGGTCAGCTGGCCCACGGAGGAGCCCGAGGACAGGTCGCCCGCTCCGCTCCCTTTCTGAGGCCTCATCACATCCCACTGGCTGCCGCTGCCCAGGTAGCCAGGCTCCAGGATTCCGCCCAGTTCTGTGCTGCCTCTGAGAGGTGAGTGGGGCCGGGCAGGGTGGAGACAGTGGGGAGAGCTGGCCTCTACCTGGTGGCTCTGAGGCAGTGCGGCTGGAGACACCGGATGGACAGTGCTGACGCCTGGGCAGGAAGAAACAGGAGTGAGGAACAGAGAATTGGAAGTGCAGGGCCGGCCGGGACGTGTGGGATTGTGAAGGATGGACACTGAAGGGGACGTGGGCAGTGTCGGAGATCCCAGTCTGTTGCAGACTACCAGTCACATGAAGTCCATACTCAGAGGCTATACCTTTCCCCCCATGTGTTTGCTGGCATGAGACACCAAGAGGCAGAGGGTGGATCAAGTATCTGGAAGTCACCAGTGTGCACAAGGGAAAAGTCCAGGGGCCCCACTCCTGGCTCCTGCTGTAATTCCTCATGATGGAGGCTCAGGGAAGTCCAGTAGGAGAACTCAGTCCCCAAGTCAGCATATGGCACATTCCTGTTCGTGGCTGTGGTCAATGCTAGCATCCTTGGGGGGCACGTAGGGCTTTCACTTCATAGGCTGACACGTTCATAGACTTTAGCAAGCCATCGGCCTTCCCTGGAGCTGAATCATATCTGCTTCTACGTAAAAAGAAGCCCAGCCTGTGGGAGACGCAGAGAGAGGTGGGGAGGGCTGTGATTTAGGGTATTCATTTTCAGAAGACTGTTTTCTATTGGGGATTATCGGCATGAGCAGCAGAGTAAGAAGGTAGCTCCGCCCAGGCAAAGAGGAAGAGGTTGTCACGGCCTCCAACCAAGCTGAACTCCTCTGAGGGGTTAATGGATTGGTACTTGTCAATGTTTATCTCCATTTGTAACTGGTTCTCAAATGTGGCTACACACTAGAGTCATCTGGGAAATGTAAACTCATATACACTGATGCCTAGACCTCCGGAGACTTTGCCTTCATGGGTACAGCTTGGGCACTGGATGTCTTAAAATCATCCCAGGTGATTCGGATGGGCAGCAAAGTTTGAGAAGTACTATCGTGGGTCTCTCCTTCCCCAGTTTGTAAAATACTCCATGTTCTTTAGGATCCCTGGGAGTTAGAGAGGGGGATGAAAAATGCCAGCATCTAAATCTTAAGTTGGGATTAAGTAAAGATGTGGTTTCTGACCTCTTTCACCCCCTTTCCACCCCAGCCCAACACAAGGCAAAGGGGGAAGTCAGGGGTTGTTGACAGCTTCCTTTTAACCAAGGCCATGGAAGGTTCCAAGTCTCTGAGTACCAGTGAGCAGTATTCTCGTGTTCCAGGTTCCTCTGGCTACACAACACAGAGCACACGCCCTCGACCACGCAAAGACACCAGGCAGATTCTAGCACAAGGAGATTTTTGCCCCACGGTGACCTGAGAAGCTGCCATGCACCACTGTCCATGAAGAAGCTTGGTTCAAAGCAAACAAGGAACACTGGTAAGCTGTGGTCCATCAGAGAGGACTGTGCTTCAGGATGGAGAAGAAAGGGCTACAATCTTCCTCACCAAAGATGGTGGGGAATCTTCCTCACCAAACTCTGCAGATGACATATGACGTCAACCCATATCAGCAGACCCTTTTCCATGCACAGACGTCTCCTATCTTTCCTTTTGGACAAAGACAAACTGACAAATATGGACAGGCAAAGGGAAAGAAAAGCAAGCTAGGGCACACTCTTGCCATTTTGACATGAGACAAGTCTGTTATCCATTAATTGTTGGTTTCAGGACTGCTAACATAACAAATTTTAGGTCAGAGACCTCAGAACTTTCCATAGATCTCTGAAGAGAAAAAGAAGAGGCTTCCAGAATTTGTTGAGTTTAGCTCAGGCACATGCTCTGAGTGGGATGGCAGTGAGCCACCTTATGGGACACCTGGGTGGCTCAGTCGGTTAAGCATCTGACTCTTGACTTTGGCTCAGGTCATGATCTCATGGTTCGTGGGTTCAAGCTCTGCATCAGGCTCTGTGCTGACAGTGTAGAGCCTGCTTGGGATTCTCTCTCTTCTCTCTTTGCCCCCTTCTCTCTCAAAATAAATAAGTAAACTTCAAAACCATCCTTAGGCAGAGAAGGCCTAATGGAAATATGGGACTAGGAGCAGAAGACACGGATTCAAGCCCATCTTTCCCACTTGCGAGTAGCCTTAAACAAGCACCTTGACTTCCCTGAGCCTTAGTCCCCTGCTCTGGCTCTTCCTCTCACACAAGTGGTGCGGGGCTCAGGTAAGCCTAGAGGCCTCCACCTGCGCGAAGCTGTGGCAAGCAGGCGGCGATCCTTGAGGTTTCACTGCCTGTACAAAGGGAGATGTACGAACTCCCCTAAAAATGATCTTATCTAATTAGTTCTGGGAATCAAACGGAGACACAGTAGACAGTGCATCCATTTTCAGGGTTGACAAAAGAAATGAGCTGGTGTAAATGACATTTGGGGGCTCAGGTATACGAATTCTTGGTGGTCTTGGGTCACTGGACACTGTGTGGTGACCCCTTACCATCGATGTTTGGCTCACCTGAGGGTTTTTTTTTTTTTTAATTTCTGAGAGAGAGAGACAGACAGACAGACAGACAGACACAGTGTGAGAGGTAGAGGAGGGTCAGAGAGAGAGGGGAAATACAAAATCTGAAACAGGCTCCAGGCTCTGAGCTGGCTATCAGCACAGAGCCTGACGCGGGACTCGAACCTATGAACTGTGAGATCATGACCTGAGCCGAAGTTGGACGCTTACCCGACTGAGCCACCCAGGCACCCCCAGAATGTGGTTTTAAGGTAACTTCAGTCTGATTTCTAGTTAAAAAATTTTTTTTATAGTTTATTTATTTTTGAGACAGAGACAGCACCGGTGGGGGAGGGGCAGAGAGAGAAAGAGACACAGAATCTAAAGCAGGCTCCAGGCTCTGAGCTGTCAGCACAGAACCTGACGCGGGACTCGAACCCACGAACTGTGAGATCATGACCTGAGCCGAAGTAGGACACTTAACTGACTGAGCCACCCAGGCGCCCCTAGTTGTTGTTTTTTTTTTTAAGCATCGCTAGAAGGCAAATTCCTCACGTGAAGGTTTTTCTTATTTTTTTAAGCTATAAGTGATCTCACGGAGCATTTTTTGTGGTGAGGCCTCCAGCCCATACATATATCAAAATCTTTCCAAAAAGATGGCTGGACAGTCTATACCCGATAAGATCAATTATCCCTGGAAGTCAGGCAGCAGAATTCTCAATCAGATATCACAGCCTGTGCTTCAGGTCCTGGCCACCCACCTGTCACCTGTCCAGGGGTAGAAATGAACCCTGTGCAATAGGAAGATGGGTTTTGTCACTTCTTCTGAACCCATTACTACCTTTTTTGCCCTCAACCTGATGGTGTCAGGATCTGAACTTGATTAAGAGCATTTCACAGCAGGAGAACAGAACAGGCATGGAGAGGACCCCGCCTGAGAGTGGCCATCTTCTTTATGGCCGCTGTGTCTCGCGGAGGCATGGCACATGAACTCTCTCTCATGCTCTGCCACTAAACACGTCACCAGGCTCCAGCATACTTGGTGGGGCCCCACACTGTCTGCAGCGGGACAGGACCCCATCTGGGGCCTGATGAACCGATGAGACACATGCATAGAAGGATAACAGTAAACACATTTCCAAAAAAAGCAGCCAGAGCCAACCCTCAGCCATCCACTGGCAAAGCGAACGCCCTATGCTGCGGTCCAAGACTCCGCTGTCAAAGCCAAAGCCATGCAGAGCCACACAGGGCGAGGCGGCCGTTCCCAAGCACACGAATGCAGCAGGAAGTGCTCACTTTCTCCCAACTGCTTCTGCAGCAGCTGCAGTTCCTGCTGGGCCTGCACCAAGGAGACCACGGGTGCCTCACAGCGGCCAAGGAGGGGAGGGCCAGCGGCGCCGAAGGGCAGGAGGCGGGGCGGAGCTGAGGGCAGAGGTGCCCGGGGAAGGCTAGCCAGCGAGGGGATGGAGGGGAAATGAAGGCCTAGAAAGTTGGGGAGAAAGGAGACACGTCATTAGAAAGAAAGAGAGAAAGGGAAGGGTAAGGGATTGAGAAGATGAGACTATTCCCTGACCAGATGCCTCCTCGGGGAGCCAGCTGACACGGCGAGGGGTGAGCACTGCTACCCAAGAGGCTGGCCTGGCCGACCCCCACCTTCTCCCCTGCCAGGATAGCCTGCATGCACATTCTCTGCTCATCTCGGAAACTGCTGGCTACAGAAGACAACTGTACCAACTGTAGCCCCAGCAGCTACGAGAGCCCAGCCCAGCCACCCCGGGCACAGATAGGTCAGCGTGTCTCAATGCTCTCAAGCACCCCGGGCATGCATCGGCCCTTGCCCCTGTGACAAGGCTCTCCCTACACCTTGAACTCTTCTGAAAGCATGAGGGCTCGCCCCGAGGAGGGCAGGAACGGGCCAGGGCTGTGGAGAAACGTGTATTCCTAAGGCCTGTAACTCAAGACTCCAGCAGAAACAAACCTCTGACTCTCAAATCAATGTGTTCACTCACCGAATGAAAAGTAAAGGTCCTGCTGAAGCGACTTCGGCACAATAGCCTGCGTATCTGTCTGGGTGTTTGCATCACTTGGGAAAAGTTCTTAATATGTGCAGACTCTCCAGACCCTGATCTACGAAATCACAAACTTGGGGAGTGGGGCCTGGAGGGTTGCATTTAAAAACATCTTCACAGCTGACCATTATACAGCCCAGCTTCAGATGGGACTTTAGGAACCCCGGAATGTTCTGCTGTCTGACTCTGTCTCCTCTTTCCTACAAACAGTTACACGGCAGGTAGCCCGTGGAGGGAGCACAAACCAAGACTGACCTGTGGAGAATGTCTCCCACGGGAGATGATTACATTTTAAATCACACCCCTTACCCCAGGATGCTGACACGCTATCAGAGCGACACCACAAAGACACCCCCGTTGCCAAGTGACACGGGCCATGCATCCTTCAGGGAGGCATTCTCATCTTAACCCCCCTGGCCTTCTGTTCTGTTTGACCCCAGAGCATTTACACAGACAGATGTCCACGGTGCCAGGCAAACAGCTTTTCCCCATGATTTCCTGGGCCAGCTGCTGCCTGCTCTGCCTGAGAAACTTGGAGCCCAGGCTCAGAAACTGTCAGACACATCCCTTTCTTAAGCTTTTGGTTGACTTATTCTCGGGAGGGACGGGGCAGTAGAAGGAAAGCACTGTGCTCTCCGGGGCTGCCTTACACAAATGAGCCAGTCGTGGCAGGAGATAGGAGGCGAGGACAGGGTTTGCCCTTCCCTGCCATCACCAGTGTGAAGCTGTAAGAGGAAAGCACACCCCCAGGCAAGCAGGCTGGTGAGGCCACAGTGTGGATATAAGGTCACTTATAAGCGAGCAGGAGCTTTGGCTGCTGTAATCCTGGGAGAAACATGTGGCCCCTCTGCTCCCCAGGGTGAAATGAAGGAAAGAAATGGAAATGTTTAGCTTAAAACAACTGGCCAACTGCCAGTCAAAACTGCTGGTACACAGGTCAAAGGCTGTTGTAGATTTCTGATTTTTCTAAAATATTTAAAACAAAACTCAGACACAATTAGCGAACTAGGATGGTCCCTTGGTTTCATCTAGGATTTGAGGCACACAAGCCCGTGACCATGGAATCACTGGTCCCAGACGACGAGTCACACAGGCAGCTGAGGGACAGGAGACAGAGCTCCCGCCGTGCTGGCTGTCGCATACCTGGATGGGCCTGGCTGGCCTCCTGGGGGGGGCTCTGGGGAGCTGGCAAGCTGGTGGGGTTGCTGCTGGGTTCGGCCTTAACCCCCTGAGGTGCACTGGCTGCTGATGGTTTAGAAGACAGTACAGCAGAATGACTCGAATGGTGGATGGTATCTACAAAACCCATGAATGAAAGAAAATGTTGGGTGGTCTACACAGAACGGGAACCTGGCCTTCTATTTAGCCAAGGGGTACCAGGGCGGAGCCTGGCTCTCCGGGAAAGCACCAAGCACAGGCACTGAGAGCAGGCTTCATGTTCTGGCTCACAGAGAGCTCCCTTAGTGAGGCAAGCCACCTCAGAGGAGATGGTGGCGCTCGGACCATGAGAACGGCGCCTCCCAAAATACCAGGCAGGTCCGACAGCATCTGTGAACACGGACAGGTACTTGGGGCACACCATTCGGGAGATGCAGATAGCAAGGTCACTGTAGGAGGGGTGAGATGCCCCATTGTAAGACGGAAGTCAGTCAGACCGTCTGTGCTCATGGGGCAGCAGGGAAGGAAGGTCTGGAAGGATCCTCTCCCTCTTCCCTGCTGTGGTTCACCTTGGGCCCACCAGCACGCACATCCAGGGGAGACTCAGTGACACCCTGCAGAGTCATGAGCAGAGCAAAGGTCCCACACCACGGGGGCCTGTGCTTGGCGCTTGGTCCCACAGCCACGTTCAGCCCGGTACACTCCCCGGTGGACCTCCGAGGCCTGGTTATGGGTGTCTTCTCTCAGACTAGGTAAAAGCGGTACCACTCAGAAAGCAGAGGCTACCTGAGTGACCGGGTGGAGCCTTCTTCTCTTCATACTGTGTGTACTCGCTGGCGACGTCCATGTCAGAGCAGGCCTCCAGCTCATCCGACAGGAAGGAGGAGGTGCTGGGGGAGCGCTGGGGGTCCGACAAGGCGTGGCTGCTGCAGGGCGTGAGCGACCGGGCATCCAGCTTGGCCTGCAGGACTTCGATCACCTTCTCCTTCTCCTGCAGCTCCCTGCTGAGCCTGTGGGGTGCAGGTGACAAGAGGTGAAGCCAAGGTCACCGGACCAGCTAGTTGTGACGAAGACACACAGGAAAGCTGCAGAAGTCAAGGGAATCATTCCTGCGAAGAACCATGGCAACAACCCATGTCTGATTAGGAGCAAAGAAGAGGTGTAGTGCAGGGGGTAGAGGTGCAACAGTCACCCAGTGTACTGGCCCCGCATGGCACTTGGGGACTGGCAGACACTCGGGCAGCTCTTCGAGGCACCGCTGCTCTAGGCACGGCCCTAGCAGAGCTGTGGTCCGATGCCCGCTGGTTCCCAGTCTCCAAGAAGAGACGCACAGAAATGGGAGGCAAGTGTTGCCACTGACAACCAAGAGCAGGACAAGTGGAATCAGCTGGCTGGTTGCGGGCACAGCGCACGTGTGTGAAAACAAAGACAAAACACCGTTCTTCGCCACACGCATGTTGAGAAGCACTCTGTGGCCTTAAAGCACGTGTCTGACACAAGGGGCCTGAACTAGGGGCTATGATGGGTTTGGAGCCCATATTTTACTGCACATTTTAAGACTATCTGTAAGTGACTCGTTGAAAACTGGCTCCTAAGGCACTGTAGCCTCCCAGGGATCTGCAACATCTAGGCCTTTCCCCTAGGAATGGTACGAGGGGTCTTTGATTCTTTTTTTTCCCCAAGGAAATTGGACGGTTATTAAGCCGGCTGCCAACTCAGCTCGGGATGAGCCCACTTAGCAGAGTACACATCTCGTCTTTAAACACACAGGAGGAAGGCAAGGGGAGGGCCTTGGGGGTGCCAAGGACCCCTGAAACTGGGTTAGTTTACTTGTGGGTCAGACTGGCTCTAGGTCTGGAAAATAAAAATGCAAATGGAAATCGACAGAATTGTATCAATAAAGAGTAAAGACTTAGGCTAAACACAACAGTAAGACGTTCCATGAATGAAGGAACTCATTCAATCAGCATTTCCCGCCCCCTGATTTGTGAAGCTGCACTCACCCTGGACCCCGTGGGCCCTGTTCCCGCTTCCTTTATCAGATCCTATTTCAAGTTACCTGAGAGCCAGCGGTTCGAGTCCTGCTTGGTCTTTCTCACTTTTATGATCCTCTGCAAGCCAAATTCAGAAAGAAACTGTAAGAAACTAAACAGGTCCCACTTCCCCCGTTGTAAGTGCAGGAGCCTCTTTGGGTACAGGACGCTGCCTCCTCCGTGTGTGTCCCAGACACTTAGGAGAATTACTCGGGAAGGCTGTAGATCGTGGCCTCCGAGGGGAGACCTGTAGGCTCTCCTGAGCTCACCAGGCAGACCTCCCCTGACGTGGTGACCAGCACCGTGACTTTCTCTGCCCTGAATCAATGCAGAGAAGTTTAAAAGGCACTTGCCCAGCTTCTCTCCGGAACATTCTAACTTCCAAGCCTGCCACAGACGGCCTCCCAGATGCATGCTCTCTGTCCCATCACAGCATTCCTGCAGAACCCACTCTTGCTCTGTCCCGCCTCTGTACCTGCCACCAGCATGGGGGGATGGTTGGCCCCCAAGACTCATCCTGCTGTATTCCCTCGGGGGCTCTCAGGAAAGTTTTTCAAAGTAAAGGGCTCCAATAATAACCAATATTCCTAGCCTTTGCACTATGACATTTGGTACCGAAACCATGTCCAAGGGCAGGGTGCTTTACCCATAGCTGAACTATAGTCACGTATGATACCATGCAATAGACAAAGAAACAGAGACACTGAAAGGCTAAGCCATTGACCAAAGCAAGTTAATGGCAGCATCCGGGCCACAGCCTGGGTCTTCCAATTTTCAGGTCAGGCTCTTTTCACTAGGATGAGGTCCTCTGATCTTGTCTTCCTTTCTCCCCCTTAGCACTCAGTGGACACAGCCTGCTTCCCTAACGGCCACTTGCTACCAGTGCTCAAATTTCTGCAGCTGCAAACATGGCCTCTCCAACCCTGTACGTTCTGCCCCAATGCCCCCCACCAGCCAGTGCTGACCCTGTAAGGGCCCCGGGAAAGGGAGTGGAAGCAGGAGATGGGTTAAAAGGCCGTGGGAGTGACTGGGAGTGTGCCAAAGCCCTGTGGCCAACTTACTGGTGCTGAGTTTGCTGGTAAGCCTCTCCATCAGCTGGCTTCCCTGGGCGAGCTGCTCCCTGAAGCTTTGGCCCAGGTAGTAGTCTATGTCATTGCTCCTAAGAAGGTCCTCAAAAGATTTTACCGTATCTTTTGTATGCTGGGTGAGAAGATAACAGATACCTCTCCCTTCTCTTATCTTCTGGCGCAGGTAGGATAGTTCTCGGGCCTGATCCTGAATCAAGGAATCGTATTTCCTAATGCAGGAGAGAAGAGGAAAAAGAATGAAAAAGAGTGAATATTAAATCCTGGGGCTTCTGTAGAGATTTCTGTGAGAATATCTCTAAGGCGCTCTCACAAGCTGAATTCTGGCACATAAACCAAAGATGGTATTTAAGAGTAAATCTTGCTCTGACAAATGACAACAACAACTTAGTATGCCTTTGTTCTGACACTGTTTTATATATGTTGGTTGTATGTCCAAATAGATCTTAAGTTCTGTGGAGGTAAATACAGTGCCAAAGTTTATAGTCCTTCAAGGATCAGTAGAGGGTAGATTCACAGTTGTTACTCAATAAACACTAAACAGATACCAAATAAATACTAAAAAATAAATCCAGTCATTGGAATGACTTAATCCTGAGTCTGGGTGGAATCTTTCATGCCTTCTGTTTCAAAGACCATCTATAACATGGCGGATGCTACTCTGCAGAGACGACCATCACACAAATTCCCGTCCCACACACACCTTTGCCTCATCTTTCATTAGCAGGTAGAGGCTATTCTCCACCTTCTTAAACGTGGGCAAGCTCGGTGACCACTTGGACCGACATACTCTAGTGGAAGTGATACTGTGCCCCGTCTAGATGTAGCTCTTAACTGTTCTGGCAACAACCACTTCCGGTCTGTTGGATGCCAGCTGCCATGTAGAAATGCAACTACCCTGAGACCACCATACTATGAGAGGCCCCTGCCAGGAAGAAGGACCCCGGAAGACGAGAAGCCACGTGGAGAAAGAGAGATGCCAAGGAGCACCACATCACTAGCCATGCGACTGAAGAAGCTATGCCCACCCCCCTCAGAACTTTGGGATGACTCCAGCCCCAGCCGCTGTCTGAGGGAAGCTGCATGAGAGACTCCTCCAGTGAAAACCACCCTGCTGAGCCCAATGCACATGAATTATTGTTTGAGGCCACTAAGCTTTTAAGTGGTTTGATACTCAGTGCAGATAACAAGGACACATACCGAGATGGAAGTATACCCAGTATTGTTCAACACAAAGTACCAATACCAATAGTAGTTATGGTAGATAGTATTGAGAACTTAATATGTGTCATGTAATTATAAGAATTATAATTCTTTTTTTTTCAAATGTTTATTCATTTATTTTTGAGAAAGAGTGTGAGTATAAGTGGGGAAGGGGCAGAGAGACAGGGAGAGACAGAATCCCTCTCAAGCAGGCTCTGAGCCACCAGCGCAGAGGTCAACATGGGGCTCCAATTCATGAACTATGAGATTGTGACCTGAGTCAAACCCAAAGAACCCCTGTACTAATTCTTTTACACCTAATAACCACGCTTTGAGGCAGGTTCTCTTACCATCCTCATTTAATAGGTAAAAAATAGGCCCCGAAGGTCCAAGTAAGTGGTGTGGCTAGAAGGTGCCAGAGCTAGGAGTCAAACCCAAACAGTCCGACTCGAGTCTTACTACGACACCACATACCCTGGCATTTTACCTACAGGTTCCTGAGAGGAGACCCTGGGATGCGCTGTCTCCGAGTAGGGCCCAGCTGTCCTCTCTTCAGCTCTAGGCCTGGCATGCACACAAGTACTCTGTTGACTGCCCCGATGGGTTCTCTCCTCGACCCGCCTGGGCTACCCAGCCTCAAGCACAAACTTAACCGTCATCAGTCAAATAAGGGTCCAAGAAGTGACCTCCTTACCCAGGCCACGTGGCGGACCTCAGCTCCTCGGCCAGCTTCCCTTCTGACCCGGTCTTCGGGAGCTGGGCCTCTAGCTGGGACACTCTCTGGATCAGACTCTCCAGATCCTTCTTAGCCTGCAGCCCTGGGGGATAGAATGCCCCCGTGCCATCAGAGAGCCACCCCTCATCCTCGTCAGTGACACTCTGAGGGGAGGATCCCTCCAGGGCTCCGATGGCCTTCAGCTTTCGCGGTCTCTCCAGACTAGACGAGTAATCGCTCGTAACCGAGAGCGACCGCACCCGGCTCTTGAGGTTCTGAATGATCTTGTGGGCGTTCTGCAGCTGGGTCTTCAGGTCTCTGATGTCCTTGTGGAGGACAGAGGTGTCTTCCGACTTCCCGCACGCCTGGAACTCCTGCTTCCCCCGAGGGCTCTCCGAGGGCTTCTTCCCAGGGGCGCTGGCCGGGGGTGAGTCCAGCAGGGGTTCCTCACACTCTGAGAACAGACAAAGACATCTCCCTGAGTAGAGCCGCCCATCCTGCTGTAGCTGGAAACCGCTTCGGGGCTGGGTCATAATCACGTGAGCAAAAGCTGACCCCAGACCTTTACTCGGCCCTGCACTTCCCCAGCGCCCACACATGGTTCCTCTTATCCACCCACCAGCCCTGCAGGTCAGGTCACCTGTTGTGCTGAGCATTTTTCTTCTCTTCACCGTTTCTGTTTGGCGGGTGTCCCTACAGTCAAAGCCCTTTGATCGTGGACAAGCAATTGCTTAAACTTAGGGTGAGCGCATCTGGTCTTTTCATTAAAAAGTAAGCTTTATCTAACAATCTGTTGGATGGAACTTTTTTCCCCCCTTTTAATTAACGGCAGTATTTTGGAGACTACAGAAATTCAAACTCACACTCAGCCTCATTTGGGGCTAGAGTTCTCTGCCAAAGCCTCCTGCCCCTCTCTGGTCCTGGTCCCCTTCCGTCTACAACACCCCCCACCCCGCCGCCCATCAGGAGTGGGACTGGCCAACAGCTCCCGGATGTGGGCGGACAGGTAAGCCCCGCCCCCACGCTCCTACCCGGACTTGTGCTCTCCTCCCGCTCTGCCTCATTCTCGCTTCGGCCACAGGTCTCATAGCCCAGATCCTGGAGGTCCACCTGCACCTGCTTGCTGTCCTGCTTCACCAGGGACTCACCTGCTTGGGAAGAGACAGAGGGCACTGCAGAGGGTCTGAATTGCCCACATGCAGCTCAGGGACACCTCAGGGGCACATGCCCTCAGCAGGTAGGGAGGTCAGGGCCATAGTGGGATGGGCCTGTCTTTGGACTCAAGTGGGAGAAGAGACCACCCACTCTGGGCAGGACTTCCTTCCACCAGCTTGAGCTTCCGTCTGCCGCCGCTGATCTCACCTACGATCCCTGAGCCTTTGTAGAGACCAGACCTTTCTAAGTTGGGTATTATATATTATTGTCCCTACAAGCCCCAGTGAAACTAGCAAGTGCTTTATCCACAGACCCTTAGTAAATACATGAATGGAGCTGAACTGACTTAGAATCCTAACGCATCGAGATCTGCACTGTTCAGTAACATAGCCACACGGGATTCCTTCATATTAAATTAATTAACATTAAATAAAATTCCCGAGTTGAACGAGCATGACTCCTAAGCACATGTGATGTAGATATAGAACATTTCTATCAGAAAGCATGGGTTCTAATTTTTTTAAATATTTATTTATTTTTGAGAGAGACATAGAGAATGGGGGAGGGGCAGAGAGAGAGGGAGACACAGAATCTGAAGTAGGCTCCAGGCTCTGAGCTGTCAGCACAGAGCCCGACGTGGGGCTCCAACTCCTGACCCATGAGGTTGTGACCTGAGTCGAAGCTGGACATCCAGCTGGCTGAGCCACCCAGGCACTCCTGGAAAGCATGGATTCTAGACCAAAGATGGTGATGTGTTTCTGAAGAATAGGACTGGGTGCCAAGAGGAGGTGAGAAACTATCAGTGTATGTGGAGAGAGGTAAGGCATTTTGCTGACTATACCAGAAATCAGCAAACCTAGGGGCGCCTGGGTGGTTCAGTCAGTTGAGTGTCCAACGTCAGCTCAGGGCATGATCTCATGGTTCGTAAGTTCGAGCCCCACATCGAGCTCTCTGCTGTCAGCACAGAGCCTGCTTCAGATTCTCTGTCCCCCTCTCTCTGCTCCTCCCCCGCTCATGCACATACTCTCTCTCAAAAGTAAACATGAAAAACATCAGCAAACCTAAACGTTAGCCCATTCCCTCCCTACACACTCCCTGCAAACTTGCTTTGTTCTTTATTCCTCTCTGCCAGGTGCAAACTGAAGTTAAACATCCACCTTCCACAGCTCTAGGACCATGGTCAGGATTAGATCCATCTTGAGGCTGGGGACGAAAGGTGAGGCCTGCAGAGCATGCAGCTTCTCAGGGAGAAGACAGTCACCTGGGTGATGGTGCACCTAAGACTTACGAAGCATGACTCTGTATTTCTCCAGCTGGTTGGCCTGGGCAAAGACCGTGGCTTCCGATATCAGCAGCTTCTCCTGGAGATCCTGATAGCGCTGCCTGCACTGCGCTAGCTGGGAGCGCAGGTGCTTGGTGGACCCAGGAAGGCTACCTTCTGACTGAGGCCCAGGGGCTTGGGCCTGGGGCCGGTTATCCAGCTGTGGAAAGAGCCAGCACAGGGACCGGGGCAGTCTGAGGTCAGGAGCCATGCAGCAGAACGTCCACCACCCCTTCTGAGCCCCGAGGACTCTGTTCATGGGTCTGTCACAGCATTCCTCACACCATTTGGCAGTTGCTTGCGTTCCAGACCGAGCTCCTGCAGAGCTGGGCTAATGTTTTATTCATCTTTGTATCTACGGCAAGTAGCAAATCGCCAGTAGAGTCTACTAGGAGCTCTCCGTGAATGTTCATTCGATGGTTAAAAAGCGAAGGGGTAGGAATCTCTACTCATCCCTCCCTGCTCTCAGAATCCTCTATGTTCTCCGTTTACTGAACCCTCAGCAAAGCCCCTCCCCTTATGAGGACCCCGAGAGCCCCTCCTGAGGCTCAGGAGCAGACACGTGTGTGAGCTGCGACAAAATTGGCAGTGATAAGGGAGAGATGTCATTACACACTGCTTGTCTGGGCTGCCTTAACCCCCAGGCATCACTCTACCGCATCCTGTTGAAATAATCCATCTTGCCCTGTCTCTTCCCACCGTTCTGAGCACTAAAGGGGCAGAGACCAGCCCTTACTGCCTGCTGCCAGTACCTACTGTGTCATCTGGAAAATGAAGCACTCCAGAGATATTTATGAAAAATTAATTACTCAAGTAATATTTATGGGATAATGTTGTAAATGCCTTCCTAAAGGCTGAACGTGTGAGGAACATCATTACGACTGCTTGTGGGGCAAAGGTGCCCCTCTCTCAGTCCCTCCTGACCCGTAGGACAGAACTGTCACCTCCAGCCCTTCTCCAAGGGCCTTTCGTCCCATCTAATCCCACACTTACTTGATCGGCATCCCCTGCAAGTGCGGCCCCCAGGTCAAGGCTCTGGGGTCGGGGGCAGGGCTTCATGGTCCCGGGCTCCTCTTCTTGGCCTCGTGGCTTCTCGGGAGAACAGACCAGCTCTGTGTTCATTCTGTCGATCTCCCGGGCCAGCCGTGCAAGGAGCTCTGGACTAAGTTGACCATTCCCATCCTTACTGCTCAGTACCAGCTGCTCTTTGAGGAGGCTGATGATGTTGTGGGCATTCTTCAGTTTTCCCTGGAGCTTTCTGAACTCAGCCTGAAGGCTGTTCTCACTCAGACCCCCTTTGGCCGCCACAGCTTCCACCGTCACCTCGCCCTTCTCCTTGTCTTCCTCTATCTCCCATCCGTCAGACATTGCTTCTCCCATCTGCTCTTTCAGCTCTGCGTTCTCGAGGCAAAGGCTGAGCATGGTGTTCCTGCAGGATGTGGGCGGTCAGGGGCTGGCTCTGGTCTCGGCCTCGGCTCCCCAGAGCCCCCCATCTCAGTCCGGCAGAGACTCAGAGACACCCCAAAGCATGACGCAACCTCAGAGACCTACACCTGCTCCCTCATATTGTAGACAAGGAAACCAAGGTTCAGGAAGAGAGAAGCCTTGCCCACACTACTTGGTGGCAACGTGCCCACTAAAAACCTTGGACTCAACACACTTGGTCTTTTTTTTTTTTTTTAATGTTTTTTAATTTATTTCTGAGAAAGAGAGAGAGAGACAGTGTGATCAGGGGAGGGTCAGAAAGAGAGGGAGACACAGAATCTTAAGCAGGCTCTGGGCTCTGAGCTAGCTGTCAGCATAGAGCCCAACGCAGGGCTTGAACCCACGCACCATGAGATCACGACCTGAGCTGTAGTCGGACGCTCAACCCACTGAGCCACCCAGGTGCCCCTCAACACACCCGGTCTTTACCCGAGTCCTGCAGCCCCCTGTTCTAACCTTCAGTGGTCACCGGAATAAACAAGGGTACTTATAGTGTTAAGAAGAAAAAATACGAAAGACCTTGCCGAGGGCACATTTACTATTACGGGCTCTATAATTCTATTAATTATCACAAGTTTTCAGCCACTGGATGAGAGATGGGGACCTAGGAAAACACGAAATAAATAATACTCATCAGAACTGCAATCAAATGTACTTTGTTTGCCTTATGCCTGGCTCTTGTGATAGATCTTCAGGGGGGAGGGAACTCTTTCTGTCCCATTCACCCTGTATCCCCAGAGCCTCCACAGTGCCTGCCATGGGAAACATTCATATTTACAGAATAAATAAAAAGGATAAACAACTAATTTTCACTAAGACATTCTAGGGTTTCTTCCCATGGAACCCTTCAGCAGGGTTGGATGGAAGCAATAAAAAACATGGCTTTAATAAGGCAATCCATTTATTTTTTTTATTATTTTTTAAAAATATTTTTATTTATTTCTAGGGGAGAGAGAGAGAGACAGCATGAGCAGAGGAGGGTCAGAGAGAGAGGGAGATACAGACTCTGAAATAGGCTCCAGGCTCTGAGCTGACAGTCAGCACAGAGCCCGACGTGGGGCTCGAACCCACGAACCGTGAGATCATGACCTAAGCGAAAGTTGAAGTCGGACGCTTAACCGACTAAGCCACCCAGGAGCCCCAAGGCAATCCATTTAAATAGGCAGTTCGCTTCACCTCTCTGAGCCTCAGTCTTCTTTTGCATAAAATAAGGATCACTCGTACCTACTGGAGTAATTGGATGCAGAAATGAAATTGCATATATGGTATGGTTAGCTCAGGGTCTAAAACAGAGAAGGCATGTAATTCTGCAATACTAGCTGCAAACCTGAAAAACACTAACATTAGAATCCTATGAGGTGCTTATTAAAAAAAAAACCTCAAAAGGGGCGCCTGGGTGGCTTAGTCGGTTAAGCGTCCGACTTTTGCTTAGGTCATGATCTCGTGGTTTGTGGGTTCGAGCCCCACGTCGGGCTCTGTGCTGACTGCCAGCTCAGAGCCTGGAGCCTACTTCAGAGTCTGTGTCTCCCTCTCTCTCTGACCCTCCCCTGCTCACGTTGTCTCTCTCTCTCTCCTAGAAATAAAAAAAAAAAAAAAACAAAAAATCAAAAAAACAAACCTCAAAAGTTTAGAGATAAGGTCTATGAATCTACTTTTTACTTAGTTCTGCAGGTGATTCTTAAGCACACTAAACTGAGAGCCATTGACTAGAGGGGGCAAAGGAAACAAGTAATTCACACCCGGAAGGGCCAGCAGTTGGATGTCCCCCTAGATTGGGTTTCTTAGAATCCTGAAGTCTTGGAATCAAGAGCAGGGCTTATCTAGTGACAATCAAGGAAGAGAATTCTTTAGGACATAGGAATCAGACAGACTCTCCATGAGAGTTTCCTCAATGGAGAAGGGAGATAAGGATTTTGCCAAAACTGAGGTGAAAGAGGGAGAAAAGGGAATGCATGTATAGTATGGAAAAGAATGTCTGATATGATGTTATAGCTTCATGTTTTGGGGGAAAACTCCTTTGTTTTCATGATACAAACTGATGAAATCTCAAAAGATGGACCATTCATGAGACAGATCCTATCTTATACAGTATCTGTAATTCTTAAGGTCAGGTGGAGAACTAAACCAGAGTTTTAAGTTAGTAACTTCAGGGGAAAAAAAAGAAATTAATCCATGAAGCCATGAAGCCAAACTACATGTGGTTTGACTGTATATTCAGCTGTAGGATCAGAAGAGATGTGCTGTTCTTACCCATGAGCTTAACCAAGTTTACACATGAAAAAGCCTTATGCTTGGGAAAACTTATGCTTGGGGCAGCTGGCTGGCTCAGTCGGTAGAGCATGTCCCACATTGGGCAGAGAGCTTACTTTAAAAAAAGCAAAAACAAAAACAAAAAACATGTATGCTTTCACTTAAGCAGAATTTGACTTAAGCAGAAAGAAATATCATGATAATTCAGAGTAAAAGAACCAGCGTGAAGGATGATCACAAGACTATTTCCAAAATTGTGCGACAAAGTATACAGTATAGAAGGCTCAGATATTAAAAATTGGAAAGAGGGGTTCTAGCCATGGACTAGTAACTTTAAGCAAGTTACTAGAACTTTGTAGACTGGAGTTTCCTTGGCCATGAAATAAGGATTAAGCTAGCTGCCAAGGTCCTTGTCACTGCTAATATTATTCTAGGACTCAGGGACGTTTAAGTGGCACATGACAGGGCATGCATTGGATTTACACTGCTGTGTTCTAGACAACAGGACACGAGGAGTATGACCCTCAGGGGTGAATGAATGAATGGATTAGCCATACATTATCGGCATGTTCCCCAGGCATCTTTTGAAAAAAACACCATTAAAAACAGAGCGGCCCATCTAGCCAATGAATCAGCCATCTGTCACTTCCGTAAAGTTAACAAAACAGCAGAGATTATTAAAATTGCTATTCCATGATGTAAGGATTCACACTGCTGAGAGAGAGCTGCGTGGGGATGAAGGGGCCCCTGTGTAAACTGTAAACCCTCCTCCTTCACAGACCATCCTGGCCTACGTGCAGCAGTGAAGCATCATGGGTAGCAGGAGATTCCTCACATGTTCCGGTAGGTTCCAAAGAGCATACAATTGGGAGATTTCCATTCGTGACTGTATGGCTAATCATGGGTATTATTATGTTGAATTAAGACCACACTGAAATGACCTGAATGGTAATTATGGACAATCCCCATTATCCAATATGGCTAACTTGTCTCTAAAGAATTTGAGCCATCTGTGCAAGGAGCTTGGGCTGTGGGCCCCAAAGCCCTAAGCACAAATGCTTGGCTGCAGCAAGGGGACCCCGCTGGCTTCGGTGGCCTCTCCACTGGCAGGCTCCCCTTCCCTGGGGGGTGTCCTACCTGATGTGGGCCACAGAGGAGAATCCTGCTTCCTCAATTTGAGCCTTTAGCTCTTTCAGTTCCCCCTCAGCTCTCCTTTTCTCCTCTAAGTGCTGGTGGATCTCAGCCCTCAGGTGGAGCATTTCCTCCTGAAGACCCCTGGTACCGTCCCCTCCTGTCGAGGAAGGAGGGGGAAGACATATGTTCTGGGTCTCCGCAGCTGCCAGGCTCTTCTCCAAAGCCACCTTGATGAGCTGAAAGGAAAGCATAATTTAAAGAAGTTAGGTCGTGAAGGGGGATCCCAGAGGAACATCAGATCGCAAAGGCAGCTTTTGGGGAACAAAAAAGGTGGGGGCGGGGACAAAAAAGGTGGCTCTAGAACAAGTTCCCCCCGAGGACTTCCTCAGCCATAAGGGCCCTGGGTGCTGGTTTGGGTGGGGAAGACACCGAGAGCTGGAGAATTGCTGCCTTGGGCAGGAAGAGCGGCCTCCAGAGGTGGGTGAGGGAAAGACAGGTATATCATAAATAAAAGCAAATGCCAACCCATGAGGTGTAAACAGGACTGGTGAGTGTGGATGCTGTGACTGTTGCCCCTCTGAAGGACAGAGTGCCCAGAGTCTTCCCACAAGTCAGGAAGCTTCCTTGACTTCCCAACATCAGAGTCCTCGACTGCAAAGAGCACGGCTTGAGACACCAGCACTCAAAGCCGAAGGCCATGCCTGTACCTGAGACTCTAAAAAGGATGACTAAGATGGAAGGCACTCAGCCTCAGGCAAAACAGAAGCTTAATTTCACGAGCAGCAGGAGAACCATGCTCTCCAACGATGGAGAAGTTAGTGAGGCCACCTGCCCAGCAGCCAATGTCACTTGCTGTTACTACCCTGGTGCTCATGTTGCCAACCAAACTCTCTCTCTACAAATCTAAGCTCATGAGAAGAAAACAAAGTGGGAATAATTTCCCAACACTTTTCTATTTAAAAAAAAAATTTTTTTTAATGTTTATTTACTTTTGAGAGTCAGAGCACAAGCAGGGGAGCGGCAGAGAGAGAGGGAGACACAGTATCCCACACAGGCTCCAGGCTCTGAGCTGTCAGCAGAGCCTGATGTGGGGCTCGAACTCACAAACCGCAAGATCATGCCCTGAGCCAAAGTCAGATGCTCCACTGACTGAGCCACCCAGGCACCCCAACACCTTTCTATTTTTTTTGAGGATCTTCTTGAAGTTACTCTTCAGTGTGTCACCTCGAGCAGGTTATATAGTTTTTCCTCAAAGGAGAATTGTTTTAACTTGAAGGTGTTCTTATTGCTCATCTCGGGTTCCTCTCCAGTTTTCCCTACACCTTTAAAAATGTAGAAACCCAAACCCAAGTATGATAACCTACTTAGTGCATGACTAAGTATTTTAGTACCAGGATTTCTTGTCTGTCTGTCCAATACTAATACATCTCAATGGCACACTGCTTCTTTTTCCTCTCCATGACTACACTCTGGGCTTAACGTCACTCTACTGCACTTTACTTAACTGCACTCCACTTAACCTCAGGTCCATTTTGATCTCCCAGTTTCCCACCTCTCTCCCACAGCTATTTCTGGGTCATGTATAAAGTCATACTGGCTATACAGAATCATTTCTCAATGATCTAAGTCCTCAAAATATTTGACGTGCATCTCCAGAGATCCAGGAATAGCCATTCGGCTGGGGATAATTTGTAGAATTAATTATATGCTCTTTACCTTCATTCAGGTCACAAGTATATTGAACAGAACAGGGCCCAGAGCAGCTTAAACGGATCAGTGACTGAGCTGCTTGGCGTGCACACCGCCACTGACTTTGGCTCATAACTGAGTGTGGGTGGTGAAATCAAGGCTGTGAGCGCGGGGTGGGGCTGATCCCCGGCACGCATGTGCAAAGGCAGTTAGCAGCAAGGCCGTTGAGGGTGCAAAGGGAAAGAAAGAGGAGGAAGCATGGACAGAGCTGCTCATTTCCTAGGCATCCCTAGGGTTCCAAGCCTGGCATCTGTCTCTATGGCTCTGCTGCCGGGCTTAGTTAGACTGGCCTATCTCCGCGTGCGCCACCACGCATTTGGGACAAAAATCAAGAAAGGCGGACTGGATAAAAACCACTTTTGAAAACTTAGGACCTCAATCCCTCATTTAAACTATGTGATATTACCTTTCTATATCAACCCTAACTAACTTCAATAAACATTGCCATCAGCTTTGAATATGGGCATATGCATTCTTTTCTAGAACTTAAGGGTTCCTTCTGCTTGAAAATAATGTCTCACGGTCATGTCTCACCTGCCCATTTTTAAAGTACCTTCTAGATGTCTGTTATCTTCCACTGATAGAAATATACCTAGTTTCCTTAAAAAGAAAACGTTAAGAACCACGGGATGTCAGGACCAGGAGGCAGTGAAGGTCCACTAGGTCTAATTTCCCACTCAAAAATGAGAAAATAGAGACATGATTTGTTCCCAGGCTAAATTGGGTTTTCTTATTTCCACGTTAAGGGGAGTTTACTTTGGCTAACTCATCTTTAAAATTGAAATGCAAGTGCATGAAAAATGACTCAGAATCTCGCCTTTTCATCAGTTTTTCTTTCCCATCTATGGAAAGTTAATTATTTCTGTATTTTCCCCCAAATAAAACCCCAGAGCTTCCAGTCTGTATGGTGGTGGGTATGGATCCTTTCGGCCTATTGTTAATTGTATCTTACAGGTTCCTCCTCCCCCAGCCTCCACCATTTCCTAATCCATCTGTTGTTCCATTGCTTCCATGGTAAAATTACACTTCGTTGCATGCTGGGTTTCCTTTTACCCCCCAGAAGCCTAAGTGCCTGTCTGATCTCTCGTTTGCATCATGTTGTTTTGTTTTTTGCCCAATTACCTATGTCGCACCATGTAAATCAGTTCTCACACAGCATGGAGGGCATTCAAAATAATTTTTCCTCACGGTCTTCACACTAAGCCTACTGACTTTTTCTTCCTTCATTGCATTTGAATCTTGATTCTTGATTAGCTTTTCTCCACTGCAGAAGTTAAAATGAAGGAAGCCAATGCTTGATTCATTTCCCAGTCGTTTCCCAGGCATGTATTATAGACCTTACGTTTGCCCGAGAATGGGATTTTGTGGGAGATACCTGGGGAAAATTACCAATATAGCTAGACCTTAGACTTCCCGGGATCAGTGAGTCTAAAAATAAGGATGAAGCCACTCTTGCCTTGGAAGGAACACCAAGTTGGATGTGTTTGTTAGGGAAAGATGTGTCTGCCTGAGGTAGAAAGGTAGGCTGGTGTTGAGTAAAATCTACCTTCCAAGAACAGAGCAAGGAGGAACTCAGAGCCTAATTGTAAGGAAATCAGCAAACACAGTTTTGAGAATCTGGACACAGAACAGTTAGGGCAAAAGCAGCTTTATTTATTATTGGTAGGAGAGTCACACCCTCAAAACTCCAGAAAAGTTGAAGTGAATTTACAATGATTTCATATACCAAGGTTCCTCCTACCCCAAACTGGAGACTGGTTTTCAAAGAAAGAGGATAGAAAGAAAATGACGCTTACCCAAGACATTCTTCATTCAGCAGGTATAAAACTTTGTCTATCATGAGTCAAGCCCTAATCCAAATGTCTGTTAACTAATAACTTACTAAGTATTGCTGCCAAGTAATAGCGCAGACATTGCAAGGGAAATATACATGCTCCAACGTAAAGGTTTATTCCAGGGCTGAACTGACCTCCTCAGAATGTGGTCTGGTCATTTGCTCCAAGCTAGGCTACAGGAAGGTAGGTTCAGGAAGGAGCAACTTTACAAACCATTTGGCCCACAGCTTCGAGAACGAGAGCAAAGGGCTTGCGCTACTACATGTGGGTTAGACCATGCCAATCAGAACCTGGCTGTCTTCGCATCTGTGTCTCTTGTTTGCTCATTCTGAAGTGAATCCTGTCCACAGCAGCGATCACCAGTGGCTGGCGGACATCCTACTCTAACTCTGTCTTAGAGTGGACGTTTGCTTATCTCGAAGATCCCTCCCTTCTCCCCAAAGCTCCTCAGGGACATGAGGGTGTGGAAAGCAGAGGAGACTGTCACAGCAGTGCACAGCATTCAAATCACAAGCACGGGTTAGAAGGACTCAGAAGAGGCTGTTCAAGCAAAGGGAGAAGAGGAACTCATGCAGGATCCCGTGGGAGAAGTGAGGGTCAGGTACGGCTAGAGCAACAAAAAGGGGGGCTTGGTAGAAGGTAAAGGAACTGTGTTGAGGACGTGAGGTATCTCAGACAACTAACTACTTGAGGACTACTCAAGTCCTCAAGAACCGAAGACGGTGCCGAGTCCCATGAGATTTGAGGAATGCTTGCGTGGGCTGTTTTTGTTGGCCTCCTTTCTCTCATATGGGAGGCGTAGAGGCAGACCTGGAAAGCCTCATTTCCTCTGCAGTTTTCCTAAAAGCTCCAGGAAGCCATCACTGGAAAAGCCCAGCTACTTGTGCAGAACAACAGACACCAAGGATCCACTTTCTCCTTAACAACTCGGAGGCATGGTCCATCTAGATGTGATTGCTAAACGTCACTGGGCAAGGTGGAGACACAGAGGGGTGCCAGTGAGTGCCACAGGGTCACTGCTGGTGCCTTAATCTCTGAGGTCCAGGACATTCAGCTCTTGAGTTAAGAACATGCTGGTTTACACCTTCACTGATGGGTGGTGGGAACACTGCTCCAGCCTTGGGTACCAAGTTCTGGGGTTGATGGTGTGTCACAACCTGGGTGGGCTGTCACGTTGCCCAACAGACTTCTCTCTTGTGCAATGAGATTTCACCGAGACGGATCCCTATTTTGGAAGCATCCTGATGCTCTTGGAGGTTCTCGGAGAGTGCTCTCCCGAATCAGACCTCAGGCCTGCACCTCCCCATCAGCCCTCCGATGACTCCCTGTCTCCGGTGGGGTTTCAAATACAAAAACCCAAGAGGGGAACTGTCCATGGCCTTGTTGTATGTAAAGGTTCTTCTGATGCTACAGCTATAGATGGTACGTAGGGCAAAGGTGGGAGGGAGGGGCAGGGAGCAGGAGCAAGAGATAGAAGGAGTAAAAAAAAAAAAAAAAAAAAGAAAGTGGATTGGAGAGAAAAGTGGAGTGAGGACGAAGACTGGCAAGGTGGCTGGGAAGCTTGGGGAGGGCAGAAGACTGGAAAGTGGTTTTTAGTAAAAGATGGCATCTTACTTCAGGTTCACAGGGGCTGCAGGAGACTCCCAGACCCCAAAGGGCTGTGCGCCTTCTGCCCTGGGAACCCAGAACCTGACGCGGACTTACCTGGTGGTGGCTGTTGTGTGCCGCCTCCTCCTCGATGCTGTCGGTGAACTCGGTGCTAGCATCTTCTGTATCGTCCCCTGCAGCTGCATCTGGAAGTGAGTCCAGAAGAGAAAGGTGATTCCTCTCACAGGTGGCTTTCAGACAGCAGCTACAATTACACGTTTTTTGCCATCTGCCTCTGATTTCTTCCTTTCTCTGTATGCGTGGGCCCCTAGCCAGCAGGGCCAAAGGCAGAACCAGTGTGCCAAATCTGTAGACAAGCCTTCTCGTTATCACCGTTAGTGTTGTACGGGACTAACATACAACGTAATCCTTAAAACGTTCTCTGGCTTTGAGCGCACAGACCTGTACCTGAGAAGCTGGCTATTAGATAGAGTGATCACCCCTCCTGACTATTTCTAGAAAGCCTGAATTAGTCTCTGTCCTGCCAGTCTGGCAATGTAACCGCTGTCTCTTCTGGAACATGGGCCCAACATGTCTAACCTTTTCCCCACCAATGAGTGCTCAGAGGGTCTCGAATTTACTCGGGATTAAGGGGGCCCTGCTTTTCTCATGCTTTTCCACCTCTGGGATCAGCTGTACATGGGGTGACAATCTCTCTGAGGAATACCCCTCTAGGGGCTTTGTGTCCTACAGAAGCCCAGGTCCAGTCAAGACTCAAGGCACAGAATGATACAGGCGTTTCCTACTCCTTCCTTTAACCTCCCTCCATCAAACTCTCATTCAATGCCAACGTCTTTTGCCTAAATGTTTCTTATACTCTTTGTCCAAGTGGGTTTTAATACATTTTTTTTAAAGTTAATTTATTTATTTTGAGAGAGAGTGCAAGTAAAGGAGGGGCAGAGAGAGACAGAGGAAGAGAAAGAATCCCAAACAGACTCCACATTGTCAGCACAGAGGACAATCTCACAAGCCTTGAGATCATGACCTGAGCCAAAATTGAGTTGGATGCTCAACTGACAGAGCCAACCAGGGACCCCATAATACATTCTTTTATTCCTTAAGGATGGACACTGTCACCCTGGAGCACAAACAGCTATGCCTTGTTATAAGGGACAAGTGTTGCAGTTTGTGGTCTGGGCAAAGGTCTTGGACAGTGCTGATCAATAGAACTTTCTGCAGTTCTATGCATGTTCTGCCCAAGACAGCAGACACATGTGACTACTAAGCCCTTGAAAAGTGGCTAGCATGACTGAGGAACTAAAATTTTAATTTAAGTTAAATTAAAATTCAACTAGCCAAACAATTCATGGCTGCCATATTGGACAGAACAAAACTAGGGCATTCCTTCCTCTCCACCTCTGTTACGATAAAACTGTCCATCCAATTTGAGATTAAGACCTGTGGTACACAGGACTCTTTTCTTCTGAAAATGGAGGAATTTATGATGGTTAATTCATTTTAACACCAAGGAAAATCTACCCCGATACTTCCTGAGTCTGTAGAACAGGTCTTAAAGAACCTATGCAAGTTAGAGAAGCTTGAGATCTAGCTTTGACCTCTGCAACTAACCTATTAAAACTCCTCTTCTGACCACTGAGTAACCTGGGCCTGAAAGAGATTAGGTGGTTGGTCCATGGCTACACAGCTACCACTCCTGACAAGAGTTGTGCCAAGAAGTCAAGTCTTTGGACTTTCAGACTGAGGCAACTCACTATTCCTTCTGGTGACAGATCAGATCTTTATCTTTGGTTCTTCCTCCAAGACCAAATAGCATATTTCTGAGCTCAGACCTCCATGGATGAAAGGCTCTGCGTGAATAGTGACCATTCACTACCCTCTCTGCAGATAAGGTGAACAGGTGCAGTTCACAACTACATCCCATCTCTTGCCATCTGCAAATTCATGCCAGAGTATTTGCAATGATGTAATGACCCAGGCCAATCTCAATTAAGTATTAAAAGGTAGTAGGCACATCGCCCTAACAATTTAATCTTATGACTCATTCCATGAGTGTTGGGTTAACTTTGGACCGAGGTCCTGTACCCTGTACAATCAAGTCCTACCTACAAGGAGGTAGACCCACCACTCAGCACTTGTAGATTCCCTGGAAGACAGTGTACAATAGGGATTTCCACTACTTCCCCTTTCAAACCAGCCCCAGAACTGTATCATTCACAATACTAGTTATGAGGAGATGGAGGTACATGCCCCCTTTGCTTTGGCGACTCACTGAATCTGGGATGCTAATTCACTTGAGGGCATCCCAATGTTACCATGCTTATTTTGGAGAATATTCCCTGTACGACAGTAGAGATCAGAATCTTTTGTTTTTTTTCCTGCAAAGAGAATGAATGTCCCACTCAATGATGGATTAAGAAAATATAGTTTTCATACTGTTTTTCACATTGAGCTTTAGGCTAGAGAATGATCCTGTGGTTGAAGAAAGCTCAGCTGGAGTTCAGGGTCCTCATTTCCTTTTTATTCTTGGTGGCCTGTATGGCCACGCTGCCCCACATCCCGAGGGGACTCCTGTGCTAGGTTCCAGGAGTAAAGTACGGGGAGGACTAGAAAAAGTGACTGTCCCTGGTTCTGAAAGGCTTTTTATCTCACACTTTTCTACCTCTCACTTACCTTTGTCGGCCTTTCTGATGTCACATTTGCATTTTTAGGTAAGCTTCTCTCTTTAATTCACTCAGGGACAGAATATCACAGTTTTGACTTCATCAGGAGTTAAATGGAGACAGAGTAAAACTGCTTATCTCATCCCAAATCCATTACATAGGTGTTTTCCTTATTTATTTTCAGCTAGCTCAGTCTGCTCTAGCTCCTTTGGGGGACCTTCAGTGGTTGCTCAGCCTTTTACTAATTTGAATAGAATGTGGAAAGCTTTGTGTGTGTGTGCGGGAGGGGGGGGGTGTGCTAGAATAACGCTGAAAAATTTTATAGAAAATATTGGAATAAGTTATCCTACATAGAGCCCTAGAAGTTTACCCTAGACACCTTTCTTTGTTTTGTTTTTGTCTCTTGACCAACGATGATAAAAGAACTTCTCTTTTGTGAGGGAATACACTTTCCTAAGCTTTTACAATGCAAACTTCTTCCTACCTACCTAGTACCTCTAACTTATATTCATGAATGTACTGCTTGTTAATTTCATGCCCTGAAAACAAAGAGTCTGTCACTTCAAATTTAACTTTCTTCTCCAGGTTAAGTTTTATATGTTAGACTAGAAATTTTATTTAAAATTTTTTTTATTGGAGGCTTTGGTGGTGGTTTTCAAATTCGAGAAATTGCAAATTTCTCTCTATATTTCACATATGTAATCGATGTGGTACCTAAAACTCCCCTTTAGGTTTACAAAATTATTTTCTACCAGCTATCTGACTTGATAAAGTGCACAGAATAAAACCTTGAAAATATGATAAATCCTTAAGTGAAAATTTAAGTGTTATGCTATGTATTCTTTTAACCACTGAAACAAAAACTGAAATTTTTGTGGAGCTTTGTAAACCGAGGATGGCATCATTAATAAGAACATGGACTCTGGAGGCTGATTGGCTAGATTAGATTTCTGCTTCTGTCATTAGTTATGTGACTTCAGGCAAGTCACAACTTTTCTGTAACTGTTTCCTCACTTCTTAGGGTTAATAGTGATATCCACTCCATACAGTTGTAGTGAACTTCAGAGGATTTGCTGCTTTTGAAGTGCTTAGAGCAGTGCTTGGCATACAGTGTGCACCCAATAAACATGGCCTTTAAACAATATTAGTATTATTGTTGGTAAATTGAAATGGATCCATGGGCTGAAAAAAAGTGGCCCCAGAGCCTAAGTGTAATCAGCAGAGAGAAATCTTATATCTAATGGTATTAACTGGACGATCTTGATGGCATCTATCTGCACTTCCCTACTCCTGTCTGTCTGTTTCCCACAACAGGAGGTTTGCAATGCTACTCTTGGGTCTCTCTGCTGCACAGGAGAGTTGTAAAAACAGAACAGTCAGTAAAGTAGGATGCATTCTTTTGAACAGGTCTTTTACAGACAGGATTTATCCTCATTACATTATAACTGTCTTACAACGCCATCTTGTATGAATAAGCCTTAGGGGAAAAGTCATATAGTGTTATTTTTGTTCTTCAGTAATGAGCCTAAACTGGGGTTTCCCCAAATTCTACTCTATAGTCATTACTGTTTCCCCTTTAAGCCATTTATATTCAACCAACAGAAAATGAGTAATACTTCCCGTACAGTTACTCAGAACATAGTGGGAGTCACATCTAACTCTGAAAGGGGACGAAGGAGCAGAACCCTACAGGAGGAGCAGGCGTGTGGTGCCAAGCCCCGGGTGACCTTCCCCTCAGCGTTGGGCTCTCGACCCAGAACCCCTGGCCGTCTCACTTGACTCTTCGGCACTGTGCCCTGTGCTGTGAGAACTCTCACCTGTTCACATCATGAGCCAGAGACAATATCTCTGACTTAAATATATTATGATGCTGTATGACAAACAAGAAAGGTCTGCTGACAAACTGCCATTTCATCTGCATCCATTCCCTTCTGAACCATAAAAAAATTGTAGTACTCTGTAAGCTTCCGCTGAGAAATAAAAGGCTTGGGCTAGACAGATCCTGGATCCGATCTTGGAACAGAAGTAACTAGAAAAGAAATCTGCTGTCTGTGGTCAAGCCCCTCTCCGGCGTTATCTCTGTCGTTAGATCAATCTGCAACATCTCTCAAGCAACTTTCCGGCCTGTAATTTATTCAGAAAGCATTTTCCAGTGACTTAGGATTCTGTAATGTCAAGGAATTCTTCCTGCTCCTGGCCTCTTTTTGTCCCCCTCAAAGAACAAAAGAAGCGGGCTTTTCCCGGAACATCTGTGGGAATAGCACCAGCCATTGTGACAATGGACTCCTCAACTCTCCATCCTCCTTGCTGCTCCTTCAAGCAAGGAGACGAAGAGTTTTTAAGGTAAAGTAGTTCATTTCACACTTCTGGGGGAATCGTTATGCTGTTTCTTTAGTCTCACTTCCTTGAGAAAGAATAATCCAGACTTCTTCCTCTTCCTTCCTTTAAATAAATACAAGAGCATTCACTGATCCCAGAGCCTTAACTTGGACTTGGAATTTAAGTATAATGATCAATGGACTGAT